ATATAAAATAAAATAAAATAAACACATAAAGAGATAAATAAAAAAAATAAAAGCACGCGATAAAATTGAATGCACGAGACAATTTTTAGAACAACAGAGAGTTGTTGATATTTTAGAGAATAGTTTTTGGTTTTTCGAATTTGAGGTTTGTACTAACCCGTTACGGGTTTTCTATATTTGTTTGAAAAGTTATTACAATCCCGTTACGGGAACTTTAATTTCATTACTGTATTTGTTATTACAAAATAATTGTTTTTATAAAAAAAAACCAGAACGTTTCTTCAATATAGCTTGATACAGCATCATTGTCAAAAAGTAATAGGGATTATGGCAACATGTATCGCAATTTTTATGGTATCTGATGAAAAAGTATGAATTTAAAAGAATTAAAAATAAGGAAAATAAGTGCATAAAATGCATATCAATCAATGGTTCAGAAAAAGTGCATGTGATCAATTGTTTTTAAAAACTACACATTCTTTTGTATCTACACTTTTTATTAACTCTTTTAAATATAGAAATGTCAATGAATTTTGCAAATGACCCATAAACACATTAAATAACTTGGGTAGACTATATTTGAGGGTGCCCCTTGATTCTCGCCAAGTTGTGATCGCCAAGCTGGGCGATGTAGGAACCCAATCGTGATTCTGATTGCTTTAGATTTTAGCGTTATTTTTAAATGTTCAACGGTATATGTAATTTCAGAGGTCCGTTTGTTCTGCGTTGGATACCGACTGTTAAGGTTAGTTTTGAATCTGGTCTATAAGATCGAAGGTATGTGGGCAGTCATAAAAAGAGATTTAAAGAAAAAAATGTCACAGCTAGTATTACAGACGCAATTTTCTATTCGTATTTCATCGAATTTATGTGGCGATAGAAGTACACATATTCTATTCATGATAAATTTACACAGTATCTAACTGTTATAAGATAATTCTGTGCACCCAAATCTGAGAATATTCAAGCTTATTGAAGAAGTGAGTTGTTTTTTTCCTTTTCTTTCTGCGCCTACTCCATTAATTTTTGTTTTGATTCAAAATCCTTTTTATTGAGTTTATTAATTTGACTTATATTGGGTTGATTGTAAGTTTTGGCCGATGTTTTGTTGAAATTTTCCAATGTTTTACTGAAATATCATTATGTTTTGGCCGCCATTCCTGTTACCACGTTGTTCAACGCGAACAGGAATAGCGCCAAACATAAGTCGCCAAGGGGCACCCTCAAGTATATTTTTCCCAATAACTTTACTATCTTCTTGCAAGGCCTATTTAGGAAAAGCTGAGGCCCCTGACAAAATACAAATTAAAAACTCAATCGTTTTAACTTTTGATGTAATTTTTACTGTTTTTGTTTCAATCTCATATCTATACGTAAGTTCACTATATGATTTTTACTAAGCGCCCAGATTCTTAATTTCCCAGGTAGCAAAAAGATATGATCTAATATTAGAAAGATGCAATATAATACTGCCGTGCTAGAAAACGCAATACTATTGAATCCCATCTTCTAATATTAGAGCTAATATTATATAAAATTAAAAAGTATTCGATCTAACATTCGAAGTTTCAAAATTATCATCTATTTCATTACTTATGGTCCAGCGCGACATTTTTGCGAAAGGTTATCCCATATTATTAATAAATAAACATTTATTTATGAAAGAAAACGATAAATTAAATATTACTTAAAATATCATTTTCAGCCAATGCTATTTTATGGCAGATAATATGAGTGGTAGTTTGCGAACGATTAAACTCGAAAAACTTTTTCAACTGTTTCTGTTGAGTTGTCTGCTGCTCCTTCTGCTTGTTTCCGCTCATGAGCTTTCGTTTCTACGATTTAAGGTATTTATAATTTAGTAGTTTTTTGTAAACTTTACAAATGTCAATGATGGTTACATGATAAATTAGTATCGTAGTTATGTTTAGTTATGTAGGTAATGTTTTTTCCTTGAGTTAAAAATCAGCTAGAAAAGTAATTTAAAGCACGATATGTTTGAGATTGTAGATGTTGTAGAAACATTCAGTGTACCTACTTAATAAACTTCACCGCTAAATCAAAACATTTAAGAATTAATTTATTGATCATGTATTCAATAAGATCAGTAAATATTTTATATTGTGATTATTATTGTTCATTCGTAGTTGTTGACTTCTTTGTTGAAACGTATTGTCTAGCTGTAAGTAATAAGCACTGTTTTTCTGCAAAAATGAAAAAGGCAAAAGTAATGGTCTGTAAATAAATTAGCCGTGTTAAGTAAGAAATATATATCTATATATAATCTGCTACTTTTAGCGCAGTTAAAACCATTATATTGTAGAATGTTTAATACAAACAATATTACTAGCATATTAAAATTTCATGATTAAAATATTGTACAACAATCAATTAAGCATTTTTCTTTAAATATAGACTGATTTTTATTTGAATATAGGCTAATCTGTATGTTTTTGATGTATCATTATTTATATTAATTTGTAAATGATTAAAAAATGAACAATAATATGGTCTATTCAAAATGGTGATTATGGTGAATGTAGAGCTTTGATTAAATTATATTTTTTAAATAAATTCCTGTTAGAAACAATCTAATGCTGTAAAAATTTAGTTAAACTATAAGAAAAAAATATTTGACAAATGTTGGGTATGCATACTGACTTTTAAAGAATGCTATGTCAAAATATTTGGGGGAAGGGGCGAACTATATTTTATATATTTACAACTTTGAATTATGTGAATTGTTAGAGAATTCTCCTTCTATATGATTTTTTCAACCATGAATTGATGATTTTGAATTCTCATAGTATCTTTTTACATTGATGTTCTTTTATATTAATNTTAGTTTTTCACTATCAAACTGCTCCTGCACTGACTGCATGGCATGGTGCTCCTGATGAAGCTGCCTTGCATGTTTGTGCATTTCCATCCTTTTATTATGTGTCCATTTGATTATATTTTATTGTTTCCTTGGTGTTTTAATTTGGTCGTTTGCTTTATTTGAAGTTTTTTTCTAATATATATGTATTATAATAGAATTTTTTAAAAGTTTTAATTAAGAAAATATAAGCAGGGGTCAGTCTAGGTTTTTCTGAGAGGTACCTATTTTGTGAAAATTCACACATAATTTGTGAAAATTAAAAATTACATTAAAAAATCAACACAAAAATATGGATATATCGTTTTTTACAGGATAAAAAAATTTAATTGTAAGAAAAAGTATTTTGCGAACCTACCGTTTTTCCTAAAGTTGAATTTGTGAAGGTACCGTTAAACAGTAGTAAATATGGCCTGGACAGACCCCCGATAAGAGATATTTAATATATATGTAAAATGATGCAGTCGGACCGAGCAGGAAAACAGACATCAATGTCGATTCAGCATCAATTTCATCATTCAGGCAATTGTATATTTTAATTTTTGAATTCTATTTTGAAGAAGCATTTTATCATTTGTTATTATCCTGCACTTGTTTCAACAGTTCTTATAATCCTGCTCGGCTTGTAAAATGATGCAGTCGGACCGAGCAGGAAAACAGATACAGGATATTAATGAAAGCAAAGTAACTTTTATTTGGTCATTCTTTGTTGAGTGGAGAGCGAGAAGTGTTAACTCCATCGACGATCAGGCTTTCTGGTAGGGAAAATCTTGCAAAAAATCCGGAAAATGTCTCTATTTAGGGAAAGGAGAGAAATCTTAGAAATTACCATTAACCAATGGTAATTTCTAAGATTAAGAAATAGGTTGAGTGATTCCCACGAAGATTAAAGGGAAAAATATCTTTACGTAAATTTATGCATACTTGGGCCAAAAATAGATTTAAGAACAGGATGTGGCTTTTAAAAGTGTGAGAAAGCATTTCGATTTGAATAATTAATCTATATTATATAAAACGCTAATACGGACGTATGTATCAATAAAACCGATGATATTTCTTTTCTCTCGCTGGCAACAGTTTTCATTTTTAATTGATAGGCTTCGGCGCGCAAGAGCACGTAGTGAGCATCATATNATTCTTTCAACCAGGGTCCTGCTTTTGTGAATTTGTGCAAATAGGGTCCTGTTATTGCAAAAATTGCTAAAAACCTTTTCAAGAAGTTTTTAAATTGTAAATAGATAAAAGATTCTGCTCAACAGTTGTTGCTACTAAATTAGAGATGCAACATACAATTATTTGGTATTTAGCCTATACTACTCTACACAGAATATTTATTTCGGACGAATCATGGAAACAAAATCACTCACATTTTTAATAATTTCAATTGACATATTTGAAATAACACAACATAGTTATGTATCACTTTTAATGTGTTACACATTAAGTAAATTTAAACAAATTTTGAATTTATAATATTTTATTTAAAAAATTGCAAGAAATTAATTTTTATTTGCATAATATTCTATTAACGTTTCGAACCGTCTTTCTTTCCCCTGCCCAGGAAGGGTTTATTCGATTAACAAAACAATAATGAAGATAAGTAACTTTGTGAAGGGTCTGTTAACGGACTCATATTTCTTCTAAACAGACCCCTGTATGTATATATATAATAATAATAGAATTTAAGTTTTAATTAAGAAATTATAAAAGAGATATTTAAAATATATATTTAAGGGGAAAAAATGGTTTAGATACATGTTTTTTCATAATTGTTTATTTTTTCAAATTTAATCACCTATTTTTTTTTCCTGAATTATTTTTGTAAAACTGAAATTATTTTAAGTTTTATAAGCACCTTGTCAGAGAATTCTTGATTGACAATCTTTTGAAGTTAATACATTTTTCAACAGATTGAATGTAAAGTTTTCATTATAATTTTATAAAATGTTTATTTCGTAAAGACAGATTTGTTTTATAAAGTAAGCTATTGATTGTCCTTTAAATTCTACAGAATCTTACTTTAAAAAATTATACTATTAAACTGGTATGCTTATTTTAGTATTTATTTTGTGTGAATACTTTTTATATTAACTTGATTAGTTCTGTATTTGTATTTTATTTAAGTTATTGTTATTATTTTAGGTAAAGCCACAAATGGTGAATTCCGTGGGGGAGTTTAACAATGTTGTAGACGATTTAAAAAAGATAAAGAAACTAAAAGAAGATGCTCTAAGTTTATCAAGTTTGCACAGTTTTTTAGAACAATCAAAACAGTCTCTATCTTTGCAGTCTTATTTAACATCAGCCAAGAATCTGTTAGAATTTGAAAGAGTAAGAAACAACAGTAATTTTGAAGATCATGATATTACTGTCGTAAAAAGCTTAACTACTGAATTCATTGTTACCAAGGAGAATTTAATTTATAATTTAGAAAATGCTTGGCATGAAAAAATTACTATTAGCAGTTCCTTAGAAGGTAGAAAAAAGTTCTTATCTCTAAAAATTGATAAAACTGCTAGTTTAGAAAATAGTTCTGAAATCTTTAAAGCTTTAAAACTTTTAAAACAATTGAAACCAGTGTTTAAAGAGTTTGGAAAGCGATTCATAAATTTGATTTGTCACAATGTAGCAAGTAACATAGTTAAGATAACAGTATCAGAAGACTCTTCAACCTTAACAGTTGATGTTATGAAAGATCATGTACCAGAACCTCCGGAAGTTTTTGAAACATTAAAAGAAATATTAAGGTTCCTTTTTAATGGTATTTTACAGGCACCATTGAATATGGATGCTGAAGAAAACTCATTTACTGCCATGACTGAGTTTGGGATGGCTATTGGGGATGAATTTTGCACTTTTGTAATTGAAAAATGCTTGAAACCCGCTACTCCAAAACAAAGTAAGCAGATGGAGGCTTTTCGTCTTGCTGTATCTGAAGGAGAGAATTTCTGTAATTTTCTTTTGCAGTTAGGGTTTCTCTTAAAGGCAGATAATAAGCTAATAGCTTTTATCTATGATGTTGACATACTGCCAGTTAACAAAATTGCTCAGGTATTCTATTTATTTTTTCTGTTTGATTTTCTTTAGATTTGATGTATTGCGAGGAATGTTGTGTTATCAAAATTATTATATTCAACCCTTTCATGTCTAACGGGACACATACGTCCCAAACAAATTTCAAAAAAATCTTTTGGAACAAAAGCGCTTCTCTGTTTAATGGGAGACTTTCCTACCAGTTCTGTCAATATTTTTGAAGGTATTTTCATTCACAGAACATAGATGGCAATACCGTCCATAATGCTGCCCTACTCATAGTTTATGCTACCAAAATTGTTCTGTTGTAAGAAAAAAAAAACTCGTTGCGAAAGGGTTAAAGTAATAACGGATGCTTTTCCATTTTGCTGGTGCAGGTGATAGAGTTGGCAATGAAAAGTCCCCAGGTTTATATAAATTAAAATTTTTTTATTTTTTCATGATGTCTATTTAAAAAAAAAAAGCTAAAGAAATAAAAAATAAGTAACTGAATTTACCTGCGTTGGCAAAAGTGAAAAGTACCTGATTTGTTTGTTTGCATTTTAAAAGTAATATAGAGTTGTATGTAAGGTTTTATGTCCAGAGAGAAAAGAATGTACTATTTCATTTTAACGTCATTGCAGTAGTAGTGTTGACACGCATACACTTGGTTTTGGTTAATTATTTGTTCACAAGCACCATTACAGCTGGATTGTATTTACGTGAGTTAGTGAGCATTAAAAATGTTTACACCGGTTATGAAGTGCTTCCTATAATAACGGTTTTTAACACAAAGAATTATAAGCCACTGGAAATTTATCATCAACATTAAGAGATTTGTGGTGAAATATAAGGAGTGCGAAAATGGATTTGACAATTCTATGAGGGTCAAACACAGAGGGTAGCCTTTGGTTATCAGTGATAGTTTAACTGCAAAAGCAAATGAGAAAATTCAGGAAAACACACAGCTCACAACAAGAATGATTAGTAATGAGTTCCAATAACTTTCAAAAACTGTTTTTCTTAAGATTTTTACAAAGTGATCATCTAATAGTTGACCAGACAGCCCAATGCTTTTCTCTGAAGATTTCTCCATAACCACTTCTAATTTATCTGATCTCCAATTTTTTCATTAAATACAAGAAAATCAGACTTCACCAAATCAGCCCACGTCAATCACTGCCTTCCTTGCTTTTGTGTTTCCGTGGGTCTAAACAGTAATATCTTATATCTTTTTCCCCTGTGGCAGAATTGCAGCGACACGGCAACATTGTCGCAGAACGTTACAGAGCTCTTGCAGAAAGATTAGAAGAAAAAGAAAAAAAACTTTTCCTTTCTACAGAAATTTATACATAATATTTGAATCATGCATTTAGATAATAACTTTTTGACGAGCTTGATTTACGCCGATAGTATCGCGAATCGATGCAATGTTTCGATTGTATTTTCGGCAGTTATTGATTTTCCCGTGGATTTTAAATATCCCAAAATATTTCAAACAATATGGAAAATTCGAATTGTGCATTTGAGTATTAACTTTTTAATGCAATAATTATATCGAATTTTCAGCAGAAATTGTTATTGATTGCTCCATAGTTTTCGCAAATCGATGCAATGTTTCGATTGTATTTTCGGCAATTATTGATTTTCCCGTGGATTTTAAATATCTCTAAATATTTCAAACAATATGGAAAATTCGAATCGTGCATTTGAGTATTAACTTTTTAATGCAATAATTATATCGAATTTTCGGCAGAAATTGTTATCGATTTCTCCATAGTTTTCAAAACCGATATCTTTTATACAATATTATTTATTACAACAACTTAGTCTCGAAACGAAACTCTCATTTAAGGAAACCGATTAGCGTGATTTTGTTGTCGCTCTTTTTTCGACAATTACTATTATGGGTTTCAAAATTTTTAGTTAATTTTTCAAGTGCTATTCAAAATGAATTCACGTGATATTCAAAATGAATAGGAGATGTATTTTATACTTTGCCGGTTTCTCATTTGGCATTCTATAGAATGCTAGGAAATGTGTGAAATATAAATCCTTTCATACATTGCCGGCTAGTTATAGGCATTATATACAATTCCTAGGCATTCTATAGAATGCCGGATTTCAAAATTTGACAGTAACATATATATTTGATAGATCTGTTGGAAAAAGTAAATTTTTATAGTTAAGAAAAATTTTTTTTTAGGACTTTTTAAGCCGATCAAGGTCTTGCATGAAAAAAAATCTTCACCAAACTATCACAGTTGGGGTTCCAGAAAGCCCTAAAATTAGAGATGTGGATGACATGACTGGTACTAAAGATGGACTAAGCCAGTTCACATTTTCATTTCCTCAATGCAAAATCAGGTTAGAATTATAAAATAAAATGAGATGTATTTGACTTCTTTAAAAGCTAAGATATTTGTTATGTCTAAACGTGACTTTGTAAGATAATAGAATTATCTTTTCATGACTTAATAATTTTAAATGATTTAAAACAATTCTTTTAAACACAAAAATGTGTAAATATTTTGTTTAGTTTTTTAATTACTTAAATCAGTGTTTCCTAACCTTTTTATCACTGCGGACCTGTCAACGCCTGATAATTTTACCGCATCCCACTGAGGGGGGAGGGGTAAGGTTGATTGTTTATATTTTAGATTATTTTGATTTATTAATTTAATTTAATTGTATTTAAACATGCCTTCAAAATAAAATACAGTAACAGCAAAAAATAAGTATAAAGTGATTTAACATTTTAACTTACTAGAGCGTTAAATCAATGAGAACCCTAAGCTTGTTTCTTTGCAATGAGACGGTTCCATCTGGGGATAATCGAAGACAATGATACATTACAAACATTAAAAAATTTATGTCACTACCTTCAGGGGCCCCTTTTTTTAAATAAATAAAATTTTATGGAACACAGATATTTTTAATTTGGGGTATAAACCTAGGAATTTAAATTCAGTTTCAATGAAATGGGCGACTCGGTACCATTTGATCAATGGACCGAAGGTTGGGAACACTGACTTAAATGACTAAGTTTACGTTAATTTTGTAAATGGATTTGATTACTCTCTAATTACAAAGTGTCTTTGCAACACATAATTAAAAGTGTCCTTATATTTTTTCATAGTGAATCAATGAAGGAATTAGTTATGTTGCTATATGAAGTTAAAGATGAAGCGAAAAACATTGATTCTATCTATACTCCAAAGTTATACTACACTTCAAGGGGGATATGTGAATTATATTGCTCGGTTGTACCTATCTGCCATAAAGAAGAAATAGCTAATATTCCTCAACAAACTGGTATAAAATTAAACAAAATATCATTTTGTTTACCTTATTTATTAATTATGCCTATTTGATAGTTATTTCTTAATTTACAGCCATTTTTCATAACAATTGCATGTACCTGGCTCATAATTTAAGTTTATTGGGTTCCCTTTATGAGAACGACTTGCAACAAAACATTCAACTCACTTATATTGATATCATACCGGAAATAAGAAAATTGGGAGCTGAAGCATTTTTGACACAGATGAGACAACAGAAGCAGCAACTTCTGCAGCTACTGCAAGAACAAGGTACATATGCANGGGGGGGGGTGACGCACTCTAAAGGGAGCGTCCGGCATCCAGTATATGATTCCCTCTGAATTGAATCAAATCTGCTCTGCCACACGTGCTTCGGTAACGGAACTTCAGTTCCGGCTAATGCCCTTATAATAACTTCTAATATATATGTATTCGAATCTCATTATCATGATAGAATTCCTTGCAAATTACTAAAAATTTTGTATTTTACTGATTATTAAGTTGATTGATTAGTACATTGTTAAATAAAATCCCTTATGCTCTGCTGCGCATTTAAATCCTTATATAAATGTATTAAAATTTGTTTGCGAAGCAAACAAAGAAGAATTGCGTAGCAATTCTCGGGGGTTGGCGAGCGGTAGCGAGCAGGGGGCGGAGCCCCCTAGTATCTAATATTTCTAATAAGATATTGCGATTTCGGGATTTTGAATTTATGTAATGATTTTTTGACTCACTTTATTTTTGCCAATTTCACCATAAATCCAATCATTTTCGAATTTTTTTTTAAACTTTTCTTTTATTGGCAATTATAACTGCTAATTTTTATGAGGTTTTTAAAATCCTAATACATTTAATACAATAACGTGAGTTCTAAATTATGCATTTAACTTATCACTTTTTGATTTGCTTTATTTGCGCCGATTTCATCATAAATCTCAATGATTTAAAATTTTTCTTTAATAGCAGTGATTGATATATTTTTCCTTGTGATTTTGAAAATTCTATACTTTTACTAAGAGGTTATTATGATACCAGAGTGTAAAATCCCACATTTAAACAATCATTTTTTGACAAGCATTGACTGTGCTGGTTTCATCATAAATTCAAGTTATTTTTAGGCAGCGATTGCTATACATTTCCACGTCATTTTAAAAATTCAGATTTTTATTGCAAAATAAGAATTATAAATAATTACATAAATAATGTAATTCTAAAATTACATTAATAACTTACTATGTAAAATGAAGCAGTTGTTTTTATGTTTAATTTTTTTTGTACTAACTTCTTTGAATCAGGATTTAGTCAGTTATTGGATTTAATGAGCATTTTTCTGTTTCCTAAGTCTTTTGTTATGCATGGAACCTACTGTAGTGTTCAAATTTATTAACTTATTTTATTTTCACTAGCTTATTAAATTTTTGCAGGAAACTTTTAGAAATATGATATGTTTTCTGTTTGCATACAGAAAACTCACATAAATGATCTTTGAAGTGAACTTTTTTGCTATCTTGAAATATACAGTATGTTCCAGGATTATTGAAACTATTTTTAATGTGAGGTAGGTGACATCAAGAGGAGTTTGATATTAGAAACTCAATTTTCTTAAAGGTCTTTGTTCTCCAGAAGCTGGATTTGTTCATGAGAGTATTTTATAACCGTCATGTAACAGCTGACCCAATTTTTAAATTTACAACTACTAATGTTTAACTTTGTAGCCTTGCAATTTTGAACCCAACCCAGAAGACAAGGGAATTCATGGACGAAGAATTGGGTGAAATTTGCTTCTGTGGAGGACTTTTTGATGGAACTAGCCCGCATTTGTATTGCATGGAGAGGAAAACCTCCCGCGGTAAGACTGGTGGCAAGGGGACTCTAAGCCGTGATCCGTCTACCACTAAGGATATTTCACGTCAGCACTGTGATCAGTACAAGCCAGATGTGGATTTCGTATCGACTGGGATTCGAACCCAGTTCACCTCATTGGAAGGCAAACGCTCTATCCCCTGAGCCATAGCGGCTCAAATACTAAATATTGCACTGATTTAATAATTGATTAAAATTATTTATACATTTATTCACTCTAAAGAATAAAAAATTAAGAACTACTGAAACACATGTCGCAACAAGAAACAGACCTGTATTGCCAGAATCATTTTAGCTGTCATCGCCCACAAAGAAGTAAGCAAAAATTTTCAAACGCGGAGCGGGCTGATCAGATTGACAAAAGGAAATGAATGAGCAGCAGAAAGGTTGCTCGCCAATTTGGAAGATTGATGACAACTGAAATAACTGCAGCAATGAAGGTCTGTTTCCGCCAATGCTCTTGTGAACAACACCATTTCGTGGCGAACGAAGACATGAGATTGTAATCCTGATTTTTTATGAAGTCTCTTGCCTTTTCTTAAGTTTATAATCCTGGCACACTTTACGTGTGTGTGTGTATGTATATATATATATATATATAGCTATATATATATAATGGTGGCATTTATATGTGAATTTAAAAGTGTGAGAAAGCGTNGATATTATATATATATATATATGTATGTATGCTATTTGAATACTTCAGTAATTGTACAAAACGTTACACAATTGATTTTTTTAAACATTGATTTTCCCTATATTATAGCTTGTGGTAGTATGCTTATTGATGATGGAGCAGTTATGAAAGCTGAAAAGGCTATTCGTCAATGTCTGTATCAATTGCAGTTACTGAAAAAAGTGTGGTCTGATGTTTTGCCTGTTGAAGTTTATTTTAAAGCAATAGGAACTCTGTTAAATACTTGTTTTGAAGAAATGATTATTCGAATATCATCCATGGAGGACATTGCGGCTGAAGCTGCTGCTCATTTAGATAGTACTTTTGATATTTTATTAAAGCAAAGCCCAGATCTATTCATGGTAAGTAACATACACCTTGCGTGAAATTTCTTTTTCATTAACCAATAACAGAACAGAAGCATTTTTGATCTTGTCAAACGTTTGACAAAAAAATGGTTGAAACGTTTGTCAATTGTTGTGTTCAATTTTCATTTTTAGTTTGGCAGTGGATGGTCAGGCAATTTTCAAAAACATTATTTTCTAAATATCCTTACATGCAAGGATTCCAAAAATTATGATTCATCTGTAATTATTATTTTTTCAAAATCAAAGTTATGGTTCAGTAATAAAAATCATAGATTTTAAGAATTTTAGTACAAATCTGTTTAAAATGCGCTTTTACCATAACTACCAAGAGTTAGGAAATTTTGTTGCTTGCAACCAATCTACAATATTTTTTTCTTCTTCTCCTTAAGCAATTCTAAATTATTTGATTGACGGAATGCAAAGGATTTGGTAGAAACAAAAAATAAAGGGTAGCAAGAGCAAAAAACACTGTCTCATTTCCCCCTCTTCCATCTATCTGTTCGTCGCCAACAGCTCATTGTGCAGCTCTAGTGTGATGTAAAATAACAACAATAACTATCTGTCTGTTTTTAAAAAAGGTAATAATAGCCAGTTAAAAATTAACGCTGAAACGAGACGAATGATACTAAGTAATCAGTTTATCATTTTACGATGAAATATAAAATTCCAGAAATTTTTTTCAATCCTTTTTTTTTTGCTTAAGTAATATTCTTTTTATTTAATAGTGAAATTCATGAATAATTTTTTTGATATTGTTACCAAAAAGATATATTACTGTGCCTAGGATTTACTGATAAAACTTGGGATTTACCAAAGTGACTTGATAAAAGTCCAAAGTACGCTTTAATATGTTTCCATTTCGGACTTTTACCAAGCCTTTGCCGTAAAACATTGGCGTTTCCAACGCTTTCAGGTATAAATCTGAAATGAGGGATCTTTTTTAACTATTGCAAAAGTTATTCTTAAAAATTATTGAAATCTCTTTAGTTGTTACAGGGTGGCCACCTGGAAAACTTGGAATTATCAGGGAATTTTTTTATATTAGAATGGTGTAATTTTCAAGATCAAGAGTGATCTATATTTTTCTTATCGATTAGAAAAAATCGTTCACTTAATTTACGATTTTATCGCATTTTGTAAATGCTTTGTGTGAGCCCTACAAATGTGTTTATTAGAAAGAAGGAAAAGAAAACTTTGTATTTTTGTTCTGCACTGTACAGGTTTCTGGAGTAGAAACACTTAACTAATTTAAACTAAAAAAACCATGTGGTTAGATTTAAATTCTTTAAAAAATTTTATTTCAAATACGAAAACCAAAAAGAATAAAATTTAAAGAATTTTATCTAGTTTTTTATAGAGTATGCAAAAAGAAATTTGACAATTTTGCATTTGCGACATTCATTTTTGTATACTGAATATCTCTTAAAATATTAATGCTAATTCAAAACAATATTATTTATACATTGAATTGATTTTAGATATTAGTTTAAAGAAAATATCATCAATGATTTTAAATAGCACTGTTAAGCTAAAATACAGCATAAAACCACAACTTATATCTGAAAACATAGGTAGTATTTGTTTCATGACGTATGATTTTTGATATTTATAAAAATATTTGTTTTTTAAATTGAATTAATATTATTATTATTATGATACATCCACCTTGATATACACGTAAAAAGAATATTCACTACTTGAATGCTAGGTCAAACAATAAATTATAAATCAATAACAGTCAAGTGAACACATATGCTAGTCAAATGGCAAAAAATAGATAAGATACAATAACTTAGAAGTTTCGTTGAAGGAAACATAAAACATGTTTTTTTTCTTTGCTATACTTTTACATATTACTTTTTGTATTTTACAGACTTCATCTTCAGATAAAAGAAATTTTGTCCACTTTTATGTGAAAAGGTGGTTTAAATTCCAAGAACTTCAACTAATTTTAAGTGCAAGCATGAGAGAAATTGTTGACCGGTGGTCTAGTGGCAAAGGTCCTCTCGCCACCCACTTTACTTCTGAAGAAGTAAAACATCTAATTAGAGCCTTATTCCAAAACACAGAACGCAGAGCAGCAGCACTAGCAAAAATTAGATGAAAACTGTCATGCAATAGAATAATATTGTCAAATGTAAATTTAAATATTTTTGTACTTGTTAATGTATATTATGTACTTTAATACTAATAATATTTTGTACTTTTGTTAATGAATGAATCAGTGAATTTTAGCAAATGAATGAATCAGTGATTTTTAGCAAATGAATGAATATTAATAAAGATCAGTTATAGCAAAAGTTATTTAATTTTTCCTTTCCCTTATTTCAATAGCATACTTGCATCTCAGGAAAGTCATTTTTATTGTAAAATAATACAACAAGTATTTAATTTTTTTAATAAAAATGTTCAAAAAAATTTTGTTAAATTTTTAGTTGAATATAGTTTTATGAAAAAAGTTTAGTTTTTAGAAAATTCCAGTTATTAAAATTTTTAAATTTTAAGGCCTTAATTATTAAGTGCAAATGCAGTCAAACCAGTATGTCACACATACAGGGTTGGCTGGTTTAAACCATTCGAGCACAGTTAAAACCACATAAATTTTTTTCAAATAATAAAGCCGTTTTTTTTTTTTTTTTAATAAGTGCATTTTCTATTTATATAAATTTCTTTTGTTTGAATGTACCCAAATGAAAAAATATGTAGTTATATTAAATTTTTATAATTTTGAGTTTGGAGTTTCTAACAGGAATTTGTATTACTTTAAATAAACATTAATCTGTAATTTTTAAATGTTAATATAGAATCGAAGATCCATAAAAATACCTATGTAGGATAAATTAATGCCAGCAATTTTAAAATGAAATCCTGATGTCTCATAAAAATTCTAAAAATAAAGTAGACCATTGATTTAATGTTTTTGTTAATTTTTAATATTAGTTGATTCATGTAGTTATTGAAAGAGTTATAGTTTTTCAATTTTTGTTTTTTGCTTGTTAAATATACATAACGCTTGTTACAATCAAAAGTATAAATAGGAATGAGGTGTTTTCTAAATTTTATTCTTTCAGTTTAATTGTTGTTATTTTTTATTACTAGGGTAAACAAATTTGTATTGTATTCATGTAATGCACTTAAATTCATATTATAATATTTTTAGATTGAAATTTTTGTACTATAAATTTAAGAAAAAATTGTTTATGAAAAAATATTTCAAATTTATTTTAAATATTTTTAAAGTTACTTTTTTCAAAATTTTTTATTTTGAAGTAGGCAAAGAAAAATAAGTTTTATTTGAAGTTCCATTATATTAAAATAAATGACAAAAAAGTTATTTGTACTTTTCTTTCTCAAACTTAAACATACCTTTGCTATTTTATATGTTTATAATTAGTCATTTGTTTCGTTTTCACCATTCATTAATTTTAGATATTTCTTAATTCAAAAAATGTATTGTTTTTAATATTAAAATTTTTATTGATTCAAAATTTTTTTTTCCATCCAAACAATTGATATCAATGCAACAATAGCTTTAATTATTATACTTTCTTGAATTCCTAATTATATAATAGTATGTATTATTAATTAATATTAATCAATAGTAAAAAAAAAATTAGTTTCAAATGGTTTAATTACATTTAATTTAGGGGCTTACAATATTATTTAACCTTTTGTTTTAAATAAACCATAAGAAACTTGCCTTAAACCAAAAAGGCTTTTCCACATTGCCAAAATTGGTGTTTTGAGTTTAATGGCGTGCTCACCTTATTTGGATGTCATCACACATTTCAACTGTATTTAAGAGTAATAGTAAACAGTGTGCATGTGTTGCTATGGCGACAGCTGCTGTTTGATAATTTTTTTAGAATCCTTTTAATTTTCACCAGCAGACATTTTTAATGTATATACATAACAATAATTTAAAGTATTTTTATTATTAAATTATAATTACTGTCTTGATGGTGATTTCAATATAAATATGAATACTGACAAAGGAAAAGTATTTTGTGACGTCAGACATCAATTGAAACAGTTTTTGCAACCCATGATTTGAAATGTGGCGTTCAATTAAACTCATATTTTACCGTTAAGATACAAACATACATTTAAGTAATGAATGTATAATTGAGGGTTTGCCTATGCCAGGCTGGAAGTCTAAATATTAAAAATTAAGGACGAAATTACTTCCAAACTTAATGACAATTTAAGGATGCTGATTCTCTAATGGGAGCAATTTGTACAATACCAGAAATGATTGTACTCCGGAAAAAAATCCTGATCTTTTGCTAACCGTGATCCGGAAATCCAAGGTCCAGAAGTTTCAAGAAATCGATCACATTTATGCTTAAAAATTCTACTATATTTTGCTTAAAAATATTAGAACTAGGTAAATATTTTTTTTGTTAGAATAATAAATGTGATTACAGATAGAAGTAAACTTATACATAATTATTCATTTAAATAATGCTGCATATAATTTATTTAGAATTTCATGTTTTGAAAATATCCATGATTTAAATTTATAACGATATTAATTTTTTGAAGTGGGTCATTAATGATTTTACTCAAGAAATTTTTAGGATTTTTGAGTTAGGCTCACAATCACCCCAGCTATACCAACATGGATTCGCAGATATACAATTGGTAATAGTATTAGTAGTTCCTGCACTTAAGTGGAAAAAGAAACATTTTTAAGAAAACTCAGATTTTTAGGTTATACAAAAATTTCAGTTTTTTTATTTACAAAAAAAAGAGAGAAAATAGTCTAAAAATGGAACATCGTTAAGTTATAGCTAAAAACCAGGATTCTCCAGTGAAAAACAGAGTATGATAATGAGCGTATAACATTTTTGAATTTGAAATTTTTTCCATTCTTTTTTAGATAAAATTTATTCTTTCTGTTAACTTAAACAAGAATTTCAGGGCATTTTTTTAAAAAAGGAAATTAAGGACAACTTAGAGCTCTGCAATGGGATTGTTCCCACAGATTCAAACTCTTTTGGCTCTATAGGAACTCCAAGTCCCTATAAAATGGCTTACAATTGTTTCTAAAATTATTCATGATGTCCACCTCCTTGTCTTACTTCAAAATGAAAAGAAACAAAAAGTGCCAGAATCGAAATTTAGTGGGTATAGATAACAATATTAAAACTGGACACCATGGCAGTTATCTATTAACAACTTGTTTAATTAATCAAAATTATAATAATTATCTGCCACAAAATCAAAATTTTTTCCTGATGAAGCTAAAATTTCAACCCAACAATCTCAAAATAAACCTAGATTATATTAAGTGACAAATTTAATAAAAATAAACAAAGTTATTTGCCCTGCCTGTGATAAGCTAGGGATCACCAATGCTTATCGTTGGAGCAAAAATTGTTCATTGTCAAAAACAAGAGCATAAATATAAACAAGGAAGTGACCTAACACAAAATTGACAATTAATAGTATCCTGAAAAATTAAAAATGACAAGCACCCAATTTTAACTAATAAAACTTTCTAAATGTCGATATAGGTAGAACTCTAAAGTAATTACAAAATTATGCCCATAAAAAGAAAGAAAAACTATGAAAATGTAAAACAAAAAGTAATTTGCAACATACGAAACATGAAATTTAAAAATAGGAAACATTGTTAATTTTCCTATTTTAAATAATGATTTACCTTATTCTTTTTTTCGTTTTTAAAGCTTGTATTGCATTTAAATTAATGATAGTGTGAAACAGGTTGTTATGCAAAATTGAAGAAAACTGATTTATTTTTCTGATTATAATTCAAGATAGAAATTTTACAAACTTTTCCAAATATTTGTTATTGACATGACAAATATCAAAGGAAATTATAAACAAAGTGAAATAATGGTATGGCCCTTAAATATCCTCCATTTTATATATTCCTAAAATTGTGTATTTTTTAACTTCTAATTGCCTCATAAATTTTAAGTTAGGAATTTATTTTATTCAGAAAACAGGTATAATGTGTATTTTGTTGGAAAAAATAAAGTAAGAAACTGATTCTTAAAATAGTTTTTATTTCTGAATATGATCTATTACACTAAGAAATATACAGTTCATTACCTTATTTGGCATCTTTATTCATCGATAACAATCTTAACAAAGCTAGAGAACAAGAACATTGAAATTCTTGATTAGAAATGTCATAACTATAACAAGACAGCGGTAACAAAGACAAATTAGCAAGATAAAAAAAAGTTTTTTAGCAAATAATTATTTTTTGAAATTGTGTGTTTGGAAGTATCATAAAAAAGTCAAGTTTCTTCTAAATATTAAGTTTATTCTTAACCAAAGTCAAGAAATATTTTTAACAAACATTGCAAAGTTTAAAACAATTTGATTAATCAACATAAGTATATTTATAATTAAAATTTTTGTTAGATCATATTGAGATTCTTAGCTATGATGTAAGTTAATGTATATGATGTCTAAATTATTTGTGAGTGAGTGTTATGCAATTAGTTAAATTTTGTAATTTATTTAATTTTGTAATTTTTTTGTAACATACAAGGTTTTAAATGAAAGAATATTGATAGAATATTATTAAGATTTGGGTTTTTTTTTTAAATGGGCATTTTTTGACACATTTTAATTATTTATAGGGATTTATACAGATTAATTTTTTATTAAAGGAATATTTTCAAGAGTTTGAGTTTTTAGGTCATTATGAAGATAGAAACAGACTGTTGAGTATTAAAGAGAGAGGATTTAAAGGGTGCAAAATAGGAATAGCACTCCCTGAATAACTTATGATGTAATAAGAGGATCTTCCCGTACTTGGACTTAATCTTAATGGTTTAAATCAATTAATGCAGATGATATTTTAAGTTTCAAAATTAAGACAAAAATGCTCTTTCCTGAATAAACACTTTTATTAGAAGAACGCTTTCCTTAAAATAGAAAGAACTTCTTAAATTAAAATATTTTTTGCACAAATTATTACCATATCTAAGGTAAGCATCTTGAACCATTAAGATTGAGTTCTAATTCGTTAAAATCCATTCATTAAATCAAAAAGTGCTTTTTTTTTTTAAATGTACATTACACCCCAATGTCATCTCATATTTATAACTGGGAATCTGACACTATCTTCTAAATTATTCAAAAACTTAAACTATGAGTTTTAAACATCATTCTAAATTATTATCAAAATCAATTAACCTTTTTTTAAAAATGTCAACAATACATGCATACTTATTAAATTTATATATAAAAAAAACTTTAACAACACCATTTTAACATTAAAAATATGCATTTTGTGTTGTGTTAATACCATAACCTTTATATATAAATAATAATAAATAAATGCAGTTTGTTTTTAGCATTTGTCTTTTATAATTAAAATTTCATTTCATAATTATAATAACAAAAAGAGATGACTTTAAAAACATATGTTATCAACTGTAAAAATTACAAATGAAAAAGCTTGGCAAGTAAATGTGACATATATTTGTTATGGGTTGAAAACTGCAATAATTTTTTTTTTTTTGTAGCACATTTATGTTTTAAATTAAAAACTAAAAAATCTTATAAAATTTGTCTTTAAAATAATGGAAATATTTATTATAATAACTCAACGCTTAGACCTAAAACATTTCACAAATTTAAAGTAACTTGTCAATCTAGATTAATTTAAATTGAAATGATCAATAAAAATGTATAAAATAAAATTTATTATTCCAATTTTCAATATTAGTTTTATTACCACCTCGATGTATATTTTCAACTAAATTAGATTTTTTTCTGTTACACTAGGTAACAGAAAATTGTCAAGTTTGTGCAAAACAACACAATGTAATAAAATCTGATAAGAGAAAAATAAAAATCTTTAAATAAACAATTGTGTGTTTAAAAATAATTATATTGATTTAAGAATATGGGAAACATCAAGTTTGATTGCCAAAACTTTAAGAGTGACAAATCAGTTGAAAATTTAACATATTGTGTTGTGTGTATTAAAACAAAACCTAATAAATGCATTATTAAGTATATTTTTTAGAAACTCAAGCACTTAATATATAATGTGATCATAGAGGCTTCAAATTATTCACGATGCACCAAACTTGCTGACTAGATCTCCTTGTGGTTGAACTTCAATATCTTCAAGAGCTTCACGAACAGTTTTAAAAGTTTCATTTATCTATAAAACAATAAATATGTCATTTCAATATTTAATGTTTTTTTTAAAATAAACTTGTACGTCTGAAAATGGAAATCATTTAAAACCATGAAAAAATAAATAAAAAAGCATTTGAAATTATTTTGTACAAAAAAGGAAATATCTACTAAATTATTTACAGCTATTTTTACTATATCGACAGTCCAACAAACTGTTAAGCTTTATATTTAATTCATAATTTAAAATAATAAGTTTGGAATACTGCTAAGAGTCAAAAGAAAATCATGTCTGTTTTAAATGTATAAATAAAATATCTGCCTTCTTTATTTTAATCATTATAAGCAATTTCATCATGATTCCCATGATTCATGTTTTTTTAGATCCTAAATCTTTCCAACTATAATTGACGACTTTATGTTTGTGAATACACACTCAATCTATTTTTGTTTTAAAACTAATTGTTTACATCTTTAAATGTTTGAGCTTTAAATTAAGTTGAAGAATAGTCAAGAAACTTAGAAATAGGACTTGAGTAAAGTTTAAAATAACTTTAACAACTTAATATTTTACAATGCAAACATTATTATATGTATAAAATTGAATTGACATGAAGAAAAAATTTTTTTTTGTTCATTAAAAATTAAAGAAAAAGTTTCCTGCTAAGATAGGTATAGTTATTTTCAAATAAATGTTCTGTCATTTGAAAAAGAAATATGTACTTTATGTGACAAAAAGGTGATAGTGACACAACATAGAATATTTTAAAATAAATAAAATTCCATTAAATATGGGGTAATTAAACAAATTATAATGTCTATTACTAATTAAATTAGACTCAGTGGCACAACAGCCCATAGAGGGTCAAGGCCTACTGTGCTCATCTCAGTTTTCTTGACCTTGGGCTCTGGAGAGCATAAGCAGATGTTCTGGTTTGGTAGTCAGCCAAACACGGAACCCCCAGTGTTTAGTCCCCAAGCATGCTTGGTACTCGTTTTATCGACCCACTCAAGGGATGAAAGGCTGAGTCAACTTTGCTCGATTACTAATTACTTTTTTTTGCAGAAGTTGGGGCATTCAAGATCTAAACACAGATAAAAAAAAGAATATAATGCAATAAGCTAAAGAAAACAAGAAATAGTGAATAATCCAAACAGCATCTAAAACTTCACAAAAGAAAGAGCACAGAATTGGAAATTCAAGTAGTAGCACTGATAGACATGGCATGATCGAGAAAGCATTACCACGTTGTCAGTGTGGGAGCAGTTTTTGTGGAGGGCGGTAAAATACCACAAACAATTATACTCTCGACCACCCCCCAAAAGAGTGATAAGCAAGAAACCAAAACCAATTCAATTTAGATGAAGATTACATACTGAGATCACGAAAATTGAAGTAGAAGTACATACATTTGACAGAAGGGAAAAATTTAAAAAAAAAAGTCTAAAGCAGAATTGTTTTAACATTCATAATAAGATTCCAATTGAAGTGTTGTATTTAAATGTTAAATTGAAAAACATTTTGTACATTTAAGAAAGTTTTAATTGCACTTAACATATTTCAAGACACCTATACCAACTACTATAATACAACATCAATTCATATAATTTGATCAAAAGGTAATGCATTAAATATTTACCAATGACATATCTGCAATCAGAATTTGCATATCTACAATATCAGTAACTTTTTCAGGAAGAGGTACATCCTTCAAAAGGCCCCTGTTTCTCTTTAGCCACATTATATGCAATTTAGCTAGACCTCTTTGATACCCTTTGACCCTATCGATATAGTCTTTCTGCTCAATGTGAGTAGGTATAGCTGATACATCTATGATGTCACTGCAATTAAAATTTTGAAAATTTACTTCTAAGAGGTCAGAATAAAAAAAAGTTTATAGCATTAGCAAAAATAAATAGCATTGTCAAAAATAAAAAAGCAGAAATTTTTGTTTTAACATTTTAAAATTCTGTAGTACTCACATAGCAGTTTGGTGAAGAATTTTATTTAGTGCAGCTTGTTCATCACCAACTTGCCCAAATGAAACATCTGAAATATCGTGACTGAAAAAAATTAAAGGAAAAATTCATTTAAAATCCTCCATTTTGTACATGAGAAGAAAAGGGGAAAAAAAAAAGTTTTTACCTGAAACCAGGACGAGTAATTGAGTTACTCACTGGGTTTGCAAGCAACTGAGATCTTTCATTTGGCTCACCCGACTAAAAAATAAATAAGAGTTATTAAATAAAAATATTTCAGTTATTTCATGAAATACATAGTTATTCTATTAAATAACCGATTTCACCTTTTAACAGCGATATATACAGTAGGGAACCGATTATCCGGAATGATCGGGACCATCGCTATTCCGGATAACTGATTTTTCCGATTTTCTGAATCGCATACAAAAGCCGTTTTTTCTTATTGTTAAACCCAACTAAAAAAAAAATAATATTTGGAAATAATCTTAAAACGAAGTAATTCACTAATGATTATTTCCAAAATGATAGTAAGGTAAACATCTTTCCTTAAAGAAAGAAAAATCCTAAAATCTAATGAGGAAAAAATTATTATTTTTTTTAATGGCCGGAAAATTTATCGAATTTCGTTCCGGTTTTCTGATTTCCCGATAACGGGTTCTGTACTGTACATTTAAAATGAACATTAAAGGAAATAATATGGAAAATTAAAGAAATAACTTAAAAAATATCATGATTTGTGCAGTTCATGACACATTTGGTTATAAGACTTTTTAGTTTTAAATTTAAAATGCAGATTGAATTTTAATACAGACTTGCTTGCTGAACCACTAAGGACACTTTTGCGGACCACTGCATTGGTTAAGAGGGCGCCACGGGAGAAACTTTTCGTAGCAAATTCTCTTTCACTATCGTAACTTATTTAAAATTTAATATGGAAACAAACCTAGAGTAAGCCATGAAGATTCAAATACTAAAAAGAAATTTTTAAAATATCCAAATTAAAATCAATTATGAGACGATAACTTAGGAGTACTAAATGGAGAAGTTTTTCCCAATCAATATTTTCTCTTTTCTTTTCGCATTTTGAAATCTTTTTTCAGTGAGTGTAACTTCAAGGTTTACTTTAGGTTTGCTTGAACTCACTTTTAAATTAGTAATGGAGGTGAAAGAGAATTTGAGATGAAAATTTTCTCTCATGGTATGGCTTCCTCTTAAGAGCTACAGCTTTAGGATTTTTTAAGTCAACTTCAAAATAAGTGAAATTATTATTTAAAAAAATTTGATAATTGAATAGTGAATAATTGGTCTTAAGCAACCAAATAATCAGTTCAACAGATGTTTAGTATTCAATCAAGATCAAAATAATTAGGGTACTATGTAATATATAACCTTAAGTCAGTCACAGAGACATAAATGAATTATTACAGACTGAGTGGCTAAATTCGTGACCAAAATTTAAAATAAGAATTTACTGTAGTGATAATAAACATATTATGAATCACTCAAAAAATTAATGCTAACAGCTACATAATCACTTTATAGTGACTACAAACAAGTTTAATGATTGCTGTACATTGTGCAACTATAGGAGCACAACCATTTTTGAAAACGGACTACAAAAGGAAGGGGGATGAAGATTACAAAGAATTTAGTTTTGTAAACTTTGTTTTCTCCAATAAAATTAAATTATAGCAGGGTTTTCAAGTTCCTCAGTGAGAAAATGTATTTTTTCTCATATAAATTTCTTACATTTTCAATTTTAAAATAAATCCTTGAACTATATTTAATTTTGAAGATGCCTTGTTAAAAAACATTTTATTTAAAAAGAAAACTTAAATTAAAAAGAAAAATATTTACGTTTCTTGAAACGAATTAGTATTACTACAATGTAATTACTAAGTTATAATGTTGAAATTTAATGACTGAATTTTATTAATTTGAAACACAGCTATAAGATTTCTTAAGCTAGTTTTTTATTAGCTTTATTTCTAATTAACTTTCATTTACTAGGCAAAGGGATACTTTAAGCTTCCAAGCTCTAGTATGTTTCTATCTACTAAACAAACACTATAGGTCAATCCACTTTAAATAATTGAGTTTAAATACAACAATAGACAATAATTGTTTAAATAAGAAATTGATGAATTATATCACAAAACAATTGAAATGGTACAATGATCAATACAATCAAATAGTAAAACACTTTAAAAGTTAAAAATTTGGAAACATTTAAGTTAGATAAAAATTACCAGGGATTTGTTATCATCTCCACTAAAACAACTGAAACAACCTCCCATATTTTATTCCATCCTAAAAAAGAAACACACAAATAAAATATTATTCATATTTAAATAAAAAGCTAAGAGTAATAATATTGTGAATTAAATTTAATAAAAGTTAACACCTTGCACCATTACTAAAACAGAATACAGATATTGATACATGTGGCCTATACATGATTCATACTTAATTTATGGGATTTTTTTAATTTGTTAACTAGTGGAACAATCCTGATATAATGCACACATTTATGCAATGAATCAGCTAAATATTGAACAAAAAATACCAATAAAATCTTAAAAGCATAAAAAAATAAAATGTTTCTTTTTAAGGAGGATGCTATGATATGTGGCAATGTAGTTATTGCAGTTAGAGTTATTGCCATGGTGAAACAGAGGTACTGAGTTCTATCCACATTTTCCTTCAGTATACCATTTTTTAAGCTAATCTAAAATATTCCAGGTTTTTCTCCTAAGGAATATAAACACTGCCATTGTAACTGGATGTTTTCAAGGCTCTCAATAGTTAAGAGTTAGTATAGTTTTTTTTTAAAGGACATAAGAGTCNAATAATTTTAGAAATACCTGAATTTTGAACAAGAAAAAAGCATATTTGGGAAGCATTTATCCATAGAATGTTATCAACAACTTAATAAAAATATTGATGTAAGATTTTATTTAAATTGTGGAGACATAATTATCATTGTATGAATTATAAATTACACAAATCTGAATCTCAATATTAAGCTCTGAAATCACTCGATTATTTATCTTGTTGTTGGAATTTAAAACTGTGTGAATAGGAACCTAGATGTTTGACTTTAAATCTGCATGATTATGCATACCAATGTATAATTTAGTCTTTAATACTACTCATAATAGTGGGTTTTAATAAATCAAGTGAATACAAAACACAAATATTTGATATAAGATTGCACAGTTGTGAAACACAAGGTGAGACCTTAAACTGCAATTGCATAAGTAGGAAAATCAAATCTTTTCTTCATCAGGAATTTGAAGAAGACAATCTTTCTTTGAAAAGGCAAATGCAATGATATGATCACGGTAAAAGTGCAGAAAAAACAAATTCTTACATCTATTTCTGTCGCATTGAACTGCAAGACAGGATAAGGGAATTTTGCCCCTTCTTAGTAATACTAACAAAAATGCTCGCAAACACCATTCGTTTATATCGCAAATATTTAGCTTAAAAACTATTAATGAAACAGTGGTTTTTAACAGTTGCAGTCAACTGTTTTTCCAAAGTTACAAAAGGTAAATAGTTACATATTATTATTACATATTGTATTATTATTTGCATATTATACTAATAGGAAAACGCTTTAAGACTTAATTAGTGAACTTGGTTCCCTAAGATTTGTAAGATTTATAGATTTGGTAAAATAAAGTATTAATTATATTTTAAAATAAGAATTTTTTCCTTTAAATCTTTCTTTTTTAAATATGTAAATATGACATTTTTAACTGAGCTTTACCAGTCAGTCCATTTTTTCAGGATACAAAGTTAATTTGAAACCATATTAGTAGTGAAATTATTCTCCAATTCTTGTACAAACCTGTTCAGATGTAATATGTGCAAAAGTTATATTAAACTAATTATATATAAAACAACTTTTAAATAAATTTATATACTTCTCATTTAGTTCAAGGTCTTACAAATAATTCTGCAGTTAAAAGCAAAAAAAATAAATGCTGACAGTCGAAGTTATAACAAAATCTGGCACAAACAAGTTAAAAATAGAGAAAAAAAAATAGTCACAGAACAATTGATAAAAATTATTTACCTTTTTAATATACTTATCTACTTTCAAACAGAAAAACTGATTATATGGGAATTCAAAGCATAGAAAATAATGTATAAAATTAAAAGAATTCCGTGCATAAAATTACCTTATTAAATTTATCGACATGCAAATAAAAACATCAGTGATTCTTACCCAGTATTTCCTTATAAATTCAGAACTGCTACATAAAATGGCAAAGCATTCAAAGTACTTCAAAACAGAAGATTATGAAAAATATAACAGCATAAATTAATAAATTACATCAGCTTCTTTAATTACTAAAATAAATTGAATATCTTGATATTTTCCTTCTTCAACAAAACTTTGTTTTCACTCTTATAATGTTAGAGTTGCAGTTAGAGTATGTTTAAATATGCAAAATATTATTTTCAATAGACTGTTTCTTTTAAATGCCATTCACACTGTATACAAAAATCGCATCTGCGAATTCAGAGATTTAAGCGAGAATCTGAATGACGAGTTTTTTGGACAAATATCTTTCACAAATTAGGTTCTCATTAGATTTCCTAATTTTAATATGAATGCCTTTAATGGATGGTGTTTTCAATATAAATGTAATCAATACCAATCTCGAGCTCAATACCTGCTCTAGTTCCGGTTAGAAAGTTTGCAACTGCTTACTACAGTTTATTCTGCGAGGCGATATTTTCAAACGAATAATTTTGTTTTCAATAAGAGAAGTAAATTAGATAATTTCTGAGCTCAAATTTGCCGAATTTCATAAGATATTAATGTTATTAAGTAATTCTGGTGATTTTGAAGTGAAAATTTGTTTTAGTTATTTATAGATATATTGTTAAAAAAGGTGACATGGGTTGCGTTCCAATATTCGCACCGGTGACACTGGTTACACGAAAGCGAACTAGTCACGTGATCTCAGTTCACACCGTAATTTAGGAACGATCGGTGCGGTTAGGTCAGTTCTGGTTGCCATTAGCAACCAGAAGCAGACGCTCTCCTCTTTCGGAATCTTTGAGAAAAATATATTAGTGATAACAAATTAATTTTTTGTTCTATTGTATTTATTTCTTGGCCATTCTATTTTTGCATTACTTGTTAAAGAATATATATTTCTAGACTTGTAAAGCTGTTTCATATAATAAAGCAAAATATCATGATTAGTTTCAGTTTATCTTATTTATTTTTTAAGTTTAGTTGATAGAAAGTAAAACTTCTGTTTCTTATTGCATATTTTTCCTATTTAAATGTTTATTTTAAAATGCATCCATCATCTCNTCTATTGAAAACACCATCCATTATTGAAAGTAGCTGATAAAAATATTTCGCAGGAATACCAAAAGAAAAATAAATATTTACACGCGATTCATGAAATTTTATAATGAATATTTTTCCTGGTGGTACGACCCAGAGAAAACTTCTGAGTAGGACTTCGAAGTAGTTTGTGAAAGTCTAGTTGTTAGATTTAAAGGAAAAAAAAATATCATGGTTGGCTTTTTATATCTTACCAGACGCTTATAATAAATCTTCTAAGAAAGGTTAGTCATAAAGACACTGTTTGACTAAACTCATATAAATTTTGATTGACAGTCAATTGTTGTACAATGCGCCAAAGGGGAAAAAAAGGAACTACCTTGAATAACTTTTGATCTAATGATTGGATCTTCAGGTTCTAGGACTCAATCTTAATCAATCGAAAGGGTATACTTTTATCTTTTCTTAAACGAATTTTTTCACTTTGCTTAAAAAGTTCACGAGATATGGCGAAATATGCAAAAAGTAATATTAATATTAAGGGGCTCAAATTTTGGATAGACAAACTATGGGGACCTTATTTCCCAGATTGCGGCTACCCCCCAAATTTTGGGGGTCAGAAATCCGTATCCGACTGTAAAAAGGTGTGTTTAACCAGAAAAAGACGTTTTTGTGTCTGATTTTATAACTTAAAATATCGTCTGCACAAATTAATTAGCATATTTGAGGTCACTTCTACGAACCAATAAGATTGAGCTTTAAAACATGAAGATCCGATCTTTAGATCAAAAGTTATTCTGGGCGGTCCTATTTTTTTCCAACACACTGTACTATAAGAAAGGTTTAAAATTACAAACTTGTAGACTAAGTAAAAAAGAAGCAACTTTTACTGTACTTTACGGGTTTCAAAAGAACATTTTTTTGCCAGTAAATCGAAAGAAAAAAAAGTATATATGAATAAAATTTAGTGGAATCTTTATCTTTGTTAATCTTTTTGATGTTTCCTGAGAAAATTTGGGAAAAATTAGTTGAATAATTCCTGAGAAACAACCATTTACAAATAAATTTAGTTTTAATTATAACTTTTTAATACTTCAGATACTATTCAATATTTCTGCCATTTATTTAGTTAAGCATAAAAAAGCAATTATTTTTAATAAGTAAATTGGAATGTATGATTATTTGAAAGCTGTTAATCAGCTGCTTTAATATTTAAAATAATAATAATGATTCAAAAGGTTAAGCCTTGTTTACAACCTCTACTAGAGTGAAGCCTGTTATTCAGGTCCACTAGTATCACAGCAAATGGTTGTCGTAAGCATAAGGTTAAGTATCATATTGTGCCAATTATATGTCACCTTTAATATAGAAAACACAAATATTTTCTTCATTCACATATTTTTAATTTCGTTTTTCTATTTCCTTCAAAATTAAAATTGTTATTTCAATTTTGTTTCCTTACTCTAAATTTCTTTTTAGACAATAAGAAAACATAGATCACATACTTGTACTGTGCAGTAAATTCTAGCCACTCAAATTGTTTTATTTAAATTACTGAGGACTGTCGTATGACTTGTGTGCATCTACATTTCCTGTTAAGAAAACAATATATATTACAATTTGTTTTTTGTTTTGTTTCAGATTTCGTAATTTAACGGTGCATTGACATTTTCCGTAAATAGGTTCCTTTTACACCTGCCTTCATACGAAAATAGTTTTTAGTATTTGTTTTTAATAAAACGGATTCAAAATTGGGACATGGGACACAACTTTTCATGTTATGTTGATGAAGGCATAACACTACGAAAATCATAAAAACCATAAGTGAGTATAGTAACAGAAACAATAAGAAAAGGCGAACAAAACTCAAATGCTGACAGAAACAAAAATAAATTTTAGATTTATTTTATCATGTGAAGGTTAAATAGCAGATAATCATATGCAGTAATCAAATTTACAGTTATGATATTTTGACGAATTTACAGGAATGAAGACTTGGCAAAGGATGATACCTTATATCTTTTATCAAAGAATGTTAATATTGATGTCGCAGGTAGGAGTTTTATGAGGAAATTATAACTAGTTTGAAACATCCAACAACATAGGGGAAATGAAAGAATCCTTTTAAAATAAAATTTAGTTCTAACTTTTGAGAAAATGGAAACTACTTATTATTGCAGTTTAAATTGTATTACGAAGAACAGTAATTTTAAATTGAGTGCTACATACGTAATAGTTAGTTAAGAATTTAGTATTATTATTTTTAAGCATTATTTTATTAATCTTTCATTAAACTGATTACGCCTGCACTTGTAACTAGTTTGAAAAAAAAAAACTGCATAATTTAAAAATTGCCAAGAATCTACCACTCTCTGCTCACCATAACTCGCTTTATCTACTGTGTAAGCTATAAAATGATTAAATATTCGTTTTGCTTTAAATAATGTTTATTTTTTTTTCTAAGCTTTCACTAACTTACATAAAAAATTTGCAGTATATGTGCAAACATTAAAACAAGTAAAAAATTGTTTATTTATTGTCGTTAAGATAAGATAATAAAAAAGAGCATTTTAGATGAATTTTTAAAAAAATCAGAAATTCAGTTTACATATTTACAACATATAAAAAGACATACAAAAATGAATTCAGCAAAATTGTTTAAAAAAGAATACAGTATTTTATTCCCAACAGCTATGACACATTTATTACACTAAAGAAAGCTTTTCTTTCAAAAGAACAAAATAATTCTTGACTCTTAGAGAACATCAACTTTTCTTTGAAACTATGTTTTTAATCTAAATAAAAGAAGTAAATTACTAATATGAGAAAATAGAGTAAAGTAATAATTCAGAACAAAAACTAGCATAAATTTCGTGTAACACAAAATGTTATTCAACAAATGAAGAAAACATTTCATATACAGAAAGCGACAGTAAGTCAGTTACTATAGTATAAAAAAAAATTTTCCCTTCAAAACTATGAGTACCAAAATTAATTACAGCTGTGAATTTCGTTTCAACTAACACTATTCAGAGAAGAGACAAAGATTCTGTGTGCGACTATCTATCAGATCTAATGCCATCAAATATATAAAGGGGACTAATGACAACAATAAAATAATTATTAAAAATATTTATCAAATAAAAACAATATGACGCTGAAAGATAAATCATATCAAATAGTTACAGCTTCTATTTTTTTATAATAATGTGAAGAAATAATATATAAAATTTGCTAAAAGTGTGAAAATACTACATGAAAGTACATTTTAATTGCTAGTCAAACGTTAATTGCAAATAATATAATTTGATTTGAATACAAGTGCTTATTTATAAAGTTATTCTAAATTTTGATTCTTCAGATAGAACATTAATTTTTTTTTTATTTTAACTTAAAATATTAGAATACCAATATTCATAACTTATTAATCTAAAACCTACCAATTTCAGATGATACTTTTTTGAAATAGAAAATTTTATTTGTTGATATTCATGAAGTATGAGCTAAGTTAAAAATTCATTGTCACTGGTTTAAAATAAGAAAATCATAATAAAGTAGCTTGATTACTGAATTTTTAAAAACAATATTGCAGTTAACATAAATAATAAAAAAGCAATAAATATGCAAAAAAATTATGGTACTATTTTAAGATGCATACATTAGTTTACGTTTGACAATGTATAAAATATTTTTAAGTATTTTTAATATGAAAGAGGCAACCCTATAAGTTACAAAAAGTCAGAAAACATTAGTATTTAATCGGTTTGTGAATCATTATAATCATGTTGATGAATAATGAATCATTTCTAATCATTATTCATTCAACATCTACATTATATGTTTTGTAGATATTGCAAAGAGAATTGAAAATGAATGTGAATATATTTTAAGGCATCACTTACATTTTTATGAAAGCACTTTTTCAGCAATTGGAATTCTGAATTGCAATCATTTTTCTTTATATCATCTTTTTGGGAAACACACAATGCATAAGCTGAGGCCTGTAAAATAGTAAACACAAGTTACTGAATAATTTTTTTCAAAGGCTAGAAAATTTTAGAACAAAAGTTACAATCATTATTACTTTTGTCTAATTCCATTGGATTCATAGTACCTAGAATGTTATAAAAATAAAATTGTTTCAAGTTAAAGATTTTTTTTCCTTCATGAATAACCATTGTTAGAGTATATAAAATTTTAAACAAATAAAGTCTACACTTTGTTTCAAACAGCATTCATTTTTGTAATGTTAATTTTATTTTTGATGAAAAAAAAAATTCATAAGACAATCTTTTAAGTGTCATTGTGGTACATTTTGTTTCAGTAGGAAAAGTTCTTGCAGTAAAAACATTTTGTTTCACAGGTATAAAAAAATATAAATTTCATGATAGAGAAATAATTAAATAAAACACCTGGCTGGACATTTCATGCTAGTGATATTAATTGATAAATTTATAAAAGGTTTAACATACAAGGGTCTCTATAGGCCAGTGAGATAGTTGAAATGTAGCAATCAAAAAGTGGCTAAATTTATCACACACAAAAGTAAATTTTTTTTGGACATAAAATTTTGTTTGAATTTTTTTTTATTTTATAAGTTGAGCATATGTGCATAAATTTTTGCTTTAAACAATATATAAAAATGCAAATCTTTAATTTTTTTAAAATTTTTTATCTTTTATTGAAAAATTAAGAAACACTTAAAGCAAAATCTAAGAGTGACTTTAATTGATTTAGCTATGACATATTTCTTTTAAAAAAACAAACAGTAAATCTGATTTAACTTATTGCTTTATTCATTAAACCTGAATATTTGAAAGAGGTAAAAATATTGGTCCGGTTAGGAAAAACAGAGGCATAAATAAATTAAACTGATACAGTGGATCCTCTTTAAAACAAAGTGAATATTGCGTTGAATGAAAACCAATACCTCATTGTATGATTGTTGCTGTAAACTTCATTGCTAAAACAAGTTTATCACTTTTCCTAAACTGGGCAAATGAAGAGAGTGCATTTGTTTTTGGAATTGAGATAGGGTCATCCAGAGTTCTCCCTAGGAATAAAAAAGGACAGGATGCTTTCTCCCAGAAAAGGGCACTCACTGTTAAAATTGATGAAAATAAGTAATAACTTAATTTAATCCTCAATTTTTAAATTACCCTTTTATACTATTTTATGTGTATACTTCACAAAGTAATTTTCACGCCTTATCCAAATAACAGAAAAATGTCAAGCTTTTGAAAAATAATGAAAGGCAAGCTAAAAGATAATAAATTATATTCAATAAAAGTAAGCTGAAAAAAGATTTAATTGATGAACAACTAACTTTGAATAAATTTTTTTTTCATTTTAAACTGAAAATTATGAGAAAAAAAACATTTAAATGTGCATTTTTAAATAAAAGATGTTTATTAAAAAAAAAAAATAATATTAGAAAATTTTAAAATCATTAAAAAATTCATCAAATAAACTATGCGAATATCTCTGGGGGCTGAATATCATGTGAATTTTAACTATATAAGTAGACAGCATAAGAAAAGTATTACTAAAATGAAGGAACAAAATATAGGCAAGTCAAAAGTTAAATAATTATCAGTCACTAAATAAATAAGAAGTGGACTTTTCATTAAAACAGGTGGTTGAGAAAACAACCTTTTTTTTTGAAAAAAATGAAATAAAAAGGAAGTGTTTTTATGGGATGGCAGCTTATTTTTACCAAAGGGGCAGAGGATGCATTTATAGAGATCAAAGGGAGAGCAGAGCAGGCCACCCTTCTGAAAATGCTCAAGGAGAACATTGGGTCATTGTTTGTTCACTTAAACTAGCAATTGGTTAACCCTACTAGTGGAATGTGTGAATTGATACAAAACTAAAAAATAAATAAATAATAAAAAAAAAAATTAAACAAAATTGGTTAAATATTTCTTGAGAATTGAAATATTTTTTTCATGAAATTATTGTTGGATATAAATAAATATTACAATTATGAGCAAAATTTTTTCCATTCACTTAAGATTTTCTCAATATCTAATCAAATGTTCAAAATTTGAAATTGACATTAAGAGGTCCAAACTTTAGAGTGCTCTTCTGCCTAAACTATTGGGATTATAGTGCAGATAAAATAAATAAATAAACCTGTTCATTTAGAGAAAGTGTATTTTCGTGCTTCATTTTGTCACTTAATGTAGCAGCTGTTCTAATTAAATAGAATATTCAATGTTAGGTATTTGAACCATTAAGATTGAGTTTTAGCACTTGAAAATACCATCGTTAGACAAAAAGTTATTCTGGATGTCCACTTTTTAATTTTGCACACTGTACAATAATTTCACTGTCTTATATTTCTGATCCTTTCCAGAAATAAATTTCTGACTAAGTGAATTATAATTAACCAGCTGTTCATTTTTTTGAAGAGTGAGAAATTTTATGTGAAGCTTTTCTTGATTTCTTCCCTTTTTTTTAAAAAACAATTTATTTAAGTTGTAAATGTCACATTAAATATTATGAAATAATAGATATTATGAAATATAAAATATTATGAAATAATAATTTAAATTGAAAAAAAATATACAACTGATTTTTTTTAAAAAACGTTTATCATAAAATCAATGCTTTATACCTATATAATTATTGTTCCTATATATTCAATTACTTATTTGATGTTTTAAAAATTAAGTTGATATTAGCGATGGCATGTTGTATAATGCTGTTTCTCTTGTTAAAATCTTTTTTATAACAAAGTATTAGTAAATTTATCTTTTATTTAATTAGATACTGCACTTTTTACTTCAATACATTTTTTTACTCGCATACAATTCTAATACTTCATTTAATCAATAATTTCTGGATAATCATAAACTTTGATTACTTCTACATACTTCTGAGTAACAGGACGCTAACGCTTGAGGATATGAACGTAATCTTAAATTTCTTCCACTCGACATCAGAATTTTATTTATCGATTATTGAGATATGAAGAATGTTAACACGAAGTATATCAAAAATAAGTAACGGTTACTTAATTAGAAACAGCTGCACATTCTCAAAGCATTTTTAAATTGATTTCATAAATTATTCACAAAATTTTAACCTTTAAAATATAAACAAAAATCTTCTTTGGTTTAATATCTCTGTGGAATAAAAGTTAGCTTTAACCTAAACTACCATATTCTTTTAAACAGTTTGTTGTTTTCATCTGCGAGTTTCATCCACTGAACTGCACTGAAAAATTGGTTCCAAAAGTTTTTGTCAGCATTGGCGATCGAAATGGGCTGCAGGTGGTGTAGAGCAGAACTCTTTGCCTATGGCAACACTTCCCATGTTTTCCCCATTAGCGTATGGAAAGTCACAGAGGAAGGAAGTACGTTAGCTTCTCTCCTGATTTTTATATTGATTAAAATCTTTTAAGTTGGAAAACTATATGGAACTAAAAACTATTTTAAACATAGTTCTAAAGAAAAGTTTCACGGAAATTTTAAAAATTATTTTTATTAAATAAAAAGGAAAGATATTAAGAAAAGGGAAAATATCGTAGTGCATTCCTATGGATGGTGTTTTCTACACTAGGGAGCGCTGCAAGCTCGGTGCCGCCTAAATTTCCGGGTTACTGTTTCCGTTGTATTTTAAAGCCATTTGGCATGATTGTGTTTTGAGATTCTTGTAAACAATGTATTTGATTACTTATTACTTGTTTACAATGCTAACAATACTGGTGTTTACAATGCTAAAAGTGTTAACACTAACGTAAGATGGTGTACAGCTTGCAACAAGAACAAACAGTAATAAACTTATGGAACGAGGCCTTATCAATACTGCGAAAAAAGCGAGTTATTCAAAATCTAACAACCATGTCACCTTTTTTAACAATATATCTCTAAAAAACTAAAACAAATTTTCACTTCAAACTCACCAGAATTACATATTAACGTTAATATCTTATGAAATATGGCAGATTTGAGCTCAGAAATTATCTAATTTATTTCTTTTATTGAAAACAAAATTATCCGTTTGAAAACATCGCCTATCANTGGTGCACAGCTTGCAACAAGAACAAACAGTAATAAATTTATGGAACGAGGCCATATCAATACTGCTAAAAAAGCGAGTTATTCAAAATCTAACAACAATGTCATCTTTTTTAACAATATATCTCTAAAAAACTAAAACAAATTTTCACTTCAAACTCACCAGAATTACATATTAACGTTAATATCTTATGAAATATGGCAGATTTGAGCTCAGAAATTATCTAATTTATTTCTTTTATTGAAAACAAAATTATCCGTTTGAAAACATCGTCTATCAGAATAACATGTAGTAAGCAGCTGCAAACTTTTTAACCGAAACTAGAGTAGGTGCCGAGCTCGAGATTGTTATTGTTTACATTTCTTTTGAAAACACCATCCATACAACTGAAAAGAGGAGGAGAGGGAAGGGAGAAGGGCTAAAGGCATGAAACCGGTCTCTGCCCAGATGGCGTATTGGAGTGTTGCGAACGCCTATTGTTTACGTCAGCATTTCAAACCTTTTTTCTTTTTTTTAGCCTAATAACCAAAATATCTAATTAATCAAGAAAATAATTGATAAATTAACATCAATTAAAATTTTTTCTTGGATTGTTATTGCTTTTATTGAATGCATTGAAACCTATAAAGTAAACCAGGAAATTTCAAATGCAGAAAAAATGTGTTCGAAATATCAAAATGCCAATCAATTATTGCAAGATAACTATCCTACTGCATAATTCTAAGTAATCTTGCTATATTTGTTTGCATATTGATATTTTGAAATTTTTTCAGCATTTTAAGCCGCATAGTTTACTCTGAGTTTACATGAACTCACTTTAAATTACTCATGCTGGTGAAAAAGAATTTAAAATTTTGAATTTTAAAAAAGGCACTCCAGTTGACCGTTGAAAGGGGATAGTTTTTAATAAGGAATAAAGTTTTGATATGCAATTTGGATAAATAGTTTATCCAAATAAAAACGCTGTTGTGTATCAACTTTTATGTTGATAAAGAACAGAGGTGTGTGGATTCTCTAGGAAAACTCTTCTATGAGATGCATCCGAAAGGAGAAATAATGTAATAACTGGCTTATTTTTATACAAATTAGCTATTCTTTTGCAAATTTTTTTAATTTTCAATAAAATAATCTAAAATGCTCTTAAACTAAAAAAAAAGAGAAATAAAAGTATTTAAATATTAATGGTTTAAATCTCAATTATTGAATTCGTTTGTGAAAATCATATTTTATTCAACATAACATATGGATGAATGACTGAATGTAAACAATAACGAGATTCCTCGAACCGGAAGAGATTTAGAAAACCTACGGTGTATCCCTCCGCTTATGTTACACTTACGAGGGGGTGTGTGAACAGGCTTGATATTCTAGGAAATTTTATTACTGTGATTTGTGTTTAAATTTACGAGTAATTTTACCATTCATAAGAGTTTTTTGCAATTTATAAATTCTAACAAACCGTTAGAATTTATAAATTGCAGAAACAAAATTAAAAGTGCCTAAAACAAATTTAACAAAATTAATATCACAGCATAAATAAAGTGTAAGGTTTGCCATAATTTGAGCGTCATCACTTATTTGACTATATTTGTGTAAAATAGCAACATCGGTAAATTTTTGGGTAGCATCATAGCAAGCTTGCAGAGTCCTCCAAATTCATTTGTTGTTTGTTTTGTTAAAAGTAAGATTGAAAGAACGTATTATATTGAAAACACTACAAGTATAATAATATTCGATGGTGATTTTTTCAAGATTAGGAGTAAAAATCAGTCGGAAGTAGTAACCCGGAAGTCTTACGATGAATTTTAACACCTAGCGCCACCTGCGCGCAGCTTTACACGGTCAACCATCCATTTCGCTTGAGTATTTACCTAAAAAATTAATTTTCTGTTAAAATATTAGATTTAGAGTTTATTTAGAGTTTTAGTGTATCGACAATTGGATGCTTCTTTCGACTTGAAGCCTGGGGTAGCTGCCCCTTCCCCCTTTCTGTACGCCACTGATATACATAATTTGTTTTTTACATAAAAATCTTTATTTTTATTATATTTTACTGACATTAAAATAGCAGCATTTTAAATTTTCTCTCTATAGTTTTTTTTAAAAATTAGCATACTTGTATTTACTTTTGTGTATAAACACAATATCTATCATATTTTTAAATTTTTTCTTTTATGTTTACTTAGTATTTTTGTCTGTACTAGTCACGGAACGCTATATCGATACTCTTACAGCTCCAGAACTGTTAATACTAGGGTTCTTAATTTTAGACATCGACTTCAAGGTGTGGTTTAAGCCCCCTCTCCTAAAAATCAGTTACTTATCAAATATTAATAAGTTCTTCACGGTCTACAGAAGAAATTAAGTAGGTACCAGAAAAAATTGCCTTTTTGTGCAAAATTTTGATTATCATGCGATGGCTTCGAGCATTAGCGTCATGTCAAATGATAGTGATTACAGCTAATCTTTTTTTTCTTCCTGAGATGAACTGCTAAAAAAGTGTTATGCTTCATCAAAAGGCGTTACACAATCGGCAAGGGGGATAAATGGAAAAATTTTAGCTCTACTAACTGTGACGATATATGTCTTTCAATCTCTGGTACGATTTTGAAGCGTTTGATTAGAGCTATGCAGTCGGTGGTTGAAATATTCGAATTCAACTCCGACTGCGTACTTTCCCGAGAACTTAATTCTATTTCTGGTCCATACTCAATTAAAATTTTACCAAATTCCAGAAAAATATCAATTGTTACAAAATCATCTTTAACCATCTTCTTTGTAACGCAGTTTAATTAATACCAATAATTTAACTGTTAATTCGATTATATTTTAATATTTAAAAAATCTCTTATCTTTTGTTCTGATATATATATATATANATGATTTTGCGCGAAAGAGTAAGAAATAAAATATTAAATGTAACTTATGAGAATCGAGTTGATATAGTCTAGGTTAGTTTTCCAGATATTATGTCCATTTTATTTCAATTTTATCTCAAAATGTGCTGCAAGAATTTCCTGTAAAATTTTTAAAGAAAGCAGATGAAGAAAACGGTGGTTTGTGAATAATAATAATAAAATCAAATAAAAAGCTGACTTTTCATCGCTTTCTATAAAAGTTTTACAGAAAATTCTTGCAACACATTTTAAGATAAAATTTATACAAAATAGACATAGTGTCTGAAAAGCTACTTGACTCTATTAACTCGATTCATATAATTTAAACTTTTTAGTACAAAACCATAGAAAAGTTTTTTTTTAATTTTTAAAATTATATCGTTAATAATTATTTCAGATTTGTTTTCTCAAAAATTTTTGCAATTGTCAATGAAGTTCTTTTACTTCTCTCAAAATCATTTTATGAAAATATTTAGTCACAATATATTTACTTCTTAAACATATTCATAAATAATAATACGATTTAAATTTAACTGACCACGATAGTTAATTGATGCTCTACGTATTGTTTTAGTTGAGAGAGGATTTTTGGAAATTATATTTTTTTGAATATTTAGAAGATCATAAACATGTTGCTTTTTTCTTCTTCTCTATATACTGCATTGAGTATTTTTTAAAATCAGTTTGCATTAATTTTTATATTTTGCGTATTTAAGTTATGGTATTTATTTAGTAAACTATATTTATTTTATTGAAGGTTATATAATATTTAAAATGACTGAATTTGAAATGAGAGTAGGTATTTGAAGCAAATCTACAGTTGTTTCTCGTTGTATACATTTTATACGTTTTTGAAAAATACATTTTTTTTTTCAAATGCTTCTGCGTCAACTGAAGCAACTGTTGGTATCAACTCATTTTCAATTTTGATATGGCAGGTTTGTAGAAAGCCTCTCATTGAATTATACAAAAAAAAATATATCAGCAGAAGATAGATCATAGAAGTACGTGAAAAAAATAAGAGCTAAACAATTCTAAAACAATACATTAAGGTAACTTTTAAAATTAAACCGTTCTTAAGTGTGCATTCGGCTTGATTACTGAACAAAACATTTTATCTATCGCATAATTATCTGCATTTTCAATGACTGCAAAAGTTACATTTTACTGATTCCCTGGTGATATTTAAATATTGTAGATAAGAGAAGTGAGACTTGAAATTTTAAAACTGACATTAGAAGGCACAAAGTTGAGAAATTTGAAAAATTCATATTTTAATATTATTGTAGAATTAAATATCAATTTTATACAATTTCTAACCCATTCATTAAAAAGGTTAGAAATTACCATTGTTACATTTTATTCTTATCTTGTGACTAACTTTAATACTTTTGTTTTTCTCTTTTTTACTCAGAAAGATAATGGAGATACAATTGTTTGATTCTTTTTTTGTTCTTCTGAGATAAGAATTGCTGATAAAAGAGAAATAAATGTCAGGTGCGGGAAACGAAAGAGTTTAATTTTTTTAGGGAGTATATTTGATGTATTACTCAACCTTTTTTCTTTTCATTCAAAGTTACATTGAATGAATGAAATTGCGCATAAATTGGTAAAGAGATAAAATGTATGTATAGTGGGAATTTCTTGCTCCGTCTTTAACACAGCATGTATAAGTGTGTATAAGTTGGCAATCAAGTGTCACTTGTCGTAGAAGTATTTTGATTCTGCGTCGTTAACTAATAATATATATATATTTACGGCTGGAGGCGTATAAAATTACCTTTTTCTGTATTTTTAATTCTGACGGATACGCCAATCCCTGAACATTAATGTTGTTAACGCTGTAGAAGGTGGATAGATATGTCTCCCTCAAAAATTAGAGATTTCAAAAAGTTCCACCCCTTGGTATCAGACAATAAAGAAAATTCATGATCATCATTGATTTAAAAATAGTAAATTGAAAACAAGTCAAGAAATTAAAAAATATGATTCGTTTTAGACATATTTAGCAGATGGAAGATATTTTTTTTCCACTTAAAAATTACAGTAAATGATACAAGTTTCTGAAATATTGAACACTGTTTTGAAAGCAAAATAATTAAAATATATATTGGAGAAAACCTACTACAACAAGTGTAACTATTACAAATAAATACAGAGCGAAAAAAACTTATATTTATATTAAAAGAGTTTTTAATTCATAAGTGGATCGTCATTTTCCTGCCTGATTCACATTTTTTTAAATTAAAAATGATTAAAGAGGCATGGTTTAAAAAATTGAGGTAGGAAACATGTAGGAAATATTTTCAGGAACTTTTTAAGACAAAAATCTTTTTTAAAGCTCTTTTAAAAAAAATTTAAGAAATTTATGAAACAGTAACTACCAGTTCCCAAATTTGTACTAACTTTCGACTTAATTAACATGCTCACTTAAGAATTTAATATTAAAATAGTGTTTAAATTTCGTATTAAAAATTTTAGACATTTAAAAAATGACTACCTGTTTCCAACTCTCTTCTAATTAGTGATTTATTAATATATATTTGTAGCAAACTTTCATTTAGAACTTTAATATCCAAAGGAGTTATCTATTTTTTATTCTAGATTTAGGAAATTTAAACAGTGACATCCTATTTCCAACTCTCTTCCAATTACGAACCTATTGAAAAACTTTTTTCGCACTTTTACTTAGAACTTTGATATCAAAAGGATTGTTACTTTTCTGACACAAAATTTAGGAAACTTAAAAAATGACATTCTATTTCCAACTTTCTTCCTATTAGTGATTTATAAATTTTCTTCGAACTTTTACTTAGGACTTCGATATCCAAAAAATTATGTATTTCATATACAAAATTTAAGAAACTTAAAAAATAACTACACGCACCCGACTTTCTTCTGAAAAGCGACTTGGTAATTCATTTTTTTTTCAAGCTCACAATTCGAACTTTGATATGAAAGGGATTTTTAAGTTTCGAATAAAATATTAAAGAAAATTGAAAAAGTGACTTCCTGTTCCCGACTCTCTTGTAATAATTAACCTAGGGAGTCAATAAATTTGTGTCAATATCTCACGCAAAATTTTGATACCAATAAAAATAGCATGTTGTCGTGACAATGAATTTGGTTTTGCCACAGATATGCAATGAGAAAATGTCGTGCAGTGTGCTAAAGAATATTTTGAGTCAATCTATCAAGAATTTCGTGATGAACGTAGTTTACGTACAATGCCATTTAGATATTTCTGTCTAGGCAAGTTTCTACCCTTATAAAGCACGGCCAGGGTCGTTTTCGTCTCGGCATCTTTTAAAGATTTGATGTGAAATTTTCATAAAAATGCTGAGAAATGGGATTTAAGCGAGTTAAAAAAGATATTGATGTTATTCGAAACGAACGAAAAGGACCCTGTAAAACGATGTTAAATGAAGAAGACCCTGGTTGTACTTTAACGTAAGTATCACTTAAAGAGTAAGAATCACATAAAATAATTTTTAAAATCTCTACATGCGGTTTTTGTCGTGATTGCTAGTAAACATAGTGATTTCTGTACACTGAAAAAAATTTAATCAAATTACTGTAAAAAGTATATTTGTAAAATCCATTTTACAGTAAAATCCTTTTATAACGTAATATCTTATACCGTAATTTCTACAGTAATATTAATTTAATTATATTTATTCAATAATTTTACAGTAAATAATACTGTAAAAATAATGTCGCACCAGATTTTTTGTTCGTAAAAATTTCACGATAAAAATAAATTTAAAGGTAAAATGTACTAGTACCTTTAGTGCCGGTACTTTTTACCGTAATCTGATCGATTATTTTTTACAGTGTGGAGGAATTTTTTTTTTCAATAATGAAAATTTTTAATGCACATAATTTGAAAGCAAACACGTATTTTTAAAACTTCAAATGAAAAAAAAATCTTACATGCATTAAAATGGAAATTTTCATGTTTAAATAAGTAAGTACCTAATTGCATCGTAATAAAATTAATAATTTTAATTCTCCTCTTTTATTGGCTAATAGGAAGATCCTTTCTGCGCATTGTGAAATTTAGTTATAAAATTTAAAGGATTCATATCACATGTCATTCATATCGCATCACTTTTTATTTTATTTTATGAATAGGTCTGAAAATTTTAAAAATTGTTCTGAAAGTTTACAAGAGGTGATAAAAGTTATACTTACAATTTTTAGGAGCTTAACCCTTTGTCGTAGACGGGACACCGGTGTCCCTTATATGTCCGTTATTATTATAGATTATTGGAATTATATTTGTACTAAAATATAAAATCTAAGAAAGTAGTTTGAATTTTTTTAAATTGATATTCAAAAATTTATCAACAATTGATTTTGTAAATTAAAGAAATTTCAATGATGAATAAATTGTTTCTCTTAGATCTAAATAACTGCAAATAAATGTGAATTTGAAAAAAAAAGGAGTTGAGATTGACTGGAAGTGAGCTGTTTTTGGAAAATTTTACCTTTAACGTAGAAGAAAAAAAAAGACTCCTGTGATTCATGTTGTATTTCCTAACCATAACTTATTCAAATGCTAAATACAATATTTTTTTTACTTATTTGGACTTAAGTTAATACAAAATAATGAAAAACGTATAAAGATTACTTTTAATAAAAATTTCGCGTCAAAGGGCTAAACATGTGCAATTTGTATAAATTTTAAAAAAAACCCCGTCGTTCTTTCTTGTCAAAAAGGTTATTGTAGTCGAAACAGGAATTACTGTATTCGAGCTATATTTTTGATTCAAGAAGAAATATAATTTGTGACACGTGATTGCTAGTAAAGTGAATAATTTAATCAAAATAGGTAATCGTTGAGTAATGCTTATAAATTATCGTTACTGACTTAGATAGCATTCTTAGGATGAGTTAAAATATAGTGTTGCCTTTTATTACATTTTTCTTTCATTTCAATTTGTAATTTAACCTATCAAACATTATTATGCATGGATGAAATTATCATGTGATTTTTTTAGTAATATTTTTAGGAATGGGGAATGAAATGAACATTAATCGTATTCATTTTCTTTTAAAAAATGTATAAAATTTTATCAGTTACCATGGAAACTTATCACACTAAGCTGCTTCATTTTTAGATTCGCTGTAATAAAAAAAATATTTCAGAACTGTTTGGAAATAACACGTTGATACCGATAAAAGATAGTAAACCATGCGCACTACCCACTATACTTTGAAGTTTTGATAACGCTTCTTTTAAATAATCGATTCACGATTCAAGGATCCTTTTCGTTCAAAAAATAAAACAAAGATAACTCCATTGTTTAAATGAATTCAGAAGTTCTTATTTAACCGGAAATAATGTATATTATGTAGTGTGACATTTAAATAGTTAAAGAAATCATAGGATTGCAATCGCATTGTTAAATTTTTTTCTCAAAACGTAAGTATTTAACATTTTGTTTACTGTTTGTTTTAAAACATACTTCTAATATAAATTAACTAATGTATGTATAGTAATTATAAATGTGTTTGCATAAATTGAGCAGTTTTAATTGTTTTGAAGAATTCATGAAACAATTATAATTGAACATTTTTTTAATCAGTATTTATTTCTTTACCAATCTTATATACTTTTTTTTTTTAAAATCTTTATTATTTTCTGCCATATATCTACTTAAAAATGAATTCCATAAAAAAATTTCACATTCAACAATTTCGTTTAATCTCGAAAAATTGCTTTGAGCTTATTAGTTCATTTTCATAATTTTACCCTTTGACTATGATGGGCGTATTTTAAGTCGCAGTAGACGGCAGTGAAGCCCATTTCTTGAAATATATCAAGTACTGTCTAAATTGCACTATTCTTTTGTCTTATAATTACAGCTAAATAAATTTTCCGCAGTACTTTTAAATAAAATTATTCTTACTTTTTTTTAAAGATATAATTTTTTATTATTCTATGGAAATTATTTTACCAAATAGAAATGTATTTTCGTTGCATATTGTAAATCTCCCTTGTAATTATGAGCAATTTTAGCTATATACATATCTGTCTCTGTTTTTTTAAAATTTCAATTCTGATAATTTGATGTTAGAAAATAAGTTTCTTTACGCCGTGGTGGCATTGGAGTTAAAGCTCTTACCTACCAATGAGATGACCCACGCTCGAATCCCAGCGTTGACTGCTTGATCCAAATTTCGCACCCGGCTCGTACCTACCGCATGAAATATCCTCAGTGATAGACGGATCATGGGTTAGAATCCCCTTCCAGTCGGACCAACCATGGGAGGTTTTCGTGAATTTCCTCTCCATGTAATGCAAATGTGAGATAGTTCTATATGATCATTGTATGCCAAGGTTCCATCAATAAATTCCCCTAAGAAGGTTAGTTCAACTTAATGGTTGATCCAAGAGTTCCCACGTTTTCTGGATTGAGTTCAAAATTACAAGGCTATGAAGTTGAAAATTGAAAGTCTAGAGTCATTGGAATCGACTGGGGAATCACGCCAATATCAGAAAATGTATTTATTTGAACAGTGTATTACGCCTCATCCCATATTGATGTGAAATATGGCATAAAGATCAAGTAAGAGTTAACAATAAATTAAGAAGAATAGAAAGAATTCTCCTAATCTCAATCGCAAGATTCTACAGAACTGCCCCAACTGCAGCACTCCATATCCTTGCTGGAACTTTACCACTTGATTTAACCGTAAAACTTGAAACAAGAATTTCCAATAATTACTTTCATGACGAGGAAGATTACGAGTATCAAACTATTCCAAAACTTAATATAAGACATCCAGAGGAGATAATAATTATTAATTTCGAATACAACAAACCAACAGGAAAGAATATACACTGACGGATCCCAACTTAGGGTTCAAAATGAATTTAGAACAGGATGCGCTTTTATCGTCTATTCCGATAGACCTATAGTGGAAAATCATACCTTTAGACTCTCTGATTTTGCAGCAGTGTTCCAAGCTGAGTTATGGGCTATCTACCAGTGAATAACTTGGATTTTAGATCATAGCCTAACAGAAACAGTAACACTTTTTACAGATTCACCATCAGGTCTACAGGCCCTCGAGTACACCGACAATTATAATGACATATCTGATGCAATTTAAAAGATATACAGACTAAGTATCCATTTTAACTGCATAAAAGCGCACGTGGGAAATGAGGGTAACGAGGCGACTGACCAACTCGCCAAATCTGCATGTGAAAAACCATTCATCGACATTCATGAAATTCAAACGAAAAGGACTACTAGAAGGGAAATAACAAAACTATTGATCAACGAATGGCAGCGAAGATGGGACAGTAAGGAAAAGGGTAGACATACTTATTAATAATTTCAAAGGTTAACACCAACAAATTAATAGCAAATTTTTTTCTAAATCAATTCCTCACAAACCACGGGTCTCACGGAGAGCATCAGGCGAGATTTTTTGGCAAGGGAGCACTCTGTGATTCCTGCAATACTATTGAAAATCTGGAACATATTTTCATAAACTGCAGCAAATTTTAAGACCTTCGGGAAATTTTTTTTTCCTGGACATTTAAATTATAACCGACTTAAATTATTTTGGAACTAGAAGAAAGTCAAACAGGGAATCATTAAAATATTGGAACGAGAGAACTTGAATAGACGGCGTTAGCTGGGTCCCATGGCTAGTCTTTGTTAATGAGATTTAATTGTATCTCACTGCTAACAATTCTCTGTGTGCTCTTGGTATTTTAATTTCATTTAAAATGTTTTTTTTTTGCCATCTTGTAACGTTTTGCAATTACTGTATTTGTGTATTTTAGAAATTATTTTTGATTAACTTATTGTTGAAATTTTGTCAAAATTTTTAACTGTTCGTGTTTTGAATTTCCCCTTGTTCGAAATATTTCTTTACGGCTGCGTCGCTGTAACTCTTCTATATGAAATTGTCACTGTTTTCATTGGCTATGTGCAAATTGTAGAGCACTTTTTATAATCACAATACGTTTGCTACCTTTATTCAATGTTTTTACTGTTTTTATTGTTCTCTGTTTGATGCATCGCTTGTATGTCTGAACCCTCAAACTCCTAAATTTTGTTTACTGAGTAACTACTTCTGTTAATTTTAAGAATTCACTAAATTCTTTGCTGCCTTCTGGTTGGGGGTGGGGAATCTTTGGATCTTGGTGAGGTTGCTGCTCTGCGCGCGCGGCGCCCAGCCTACATAAACCAGGTTTTTCCCTGAAGTTGCTTTTGCCTCTCTTGCCCATTATTCCGACGTGTTGCCATGGACAGTCACCAAGCCTTCCTTTGTGTATCCTCTTTTTTTCCTGCTGAGCAGTCACCTGCGCGTACTTTGAGTCTACAGTATTCCCCGGGTGGCTCCTGACGTGAGCGGGACGGGGTTAAGCTTTGATTGAAAATCACTAACTCAGAATTGGTCAGCTGTTCAACGCCGGTTGTAAAATGAAGTATTTTTTGTTTCTATTCGAGTGTGGCTAGTAAAATGTTTTTTTTTCTTAAAAAATTTTTTAATTTTTTATCAGCTTGTAGTCATTAAGACAAAAGTAACTTGAAAAAAAGGAAAAAAAAAACTGCCAAAAACAACCGTTCTGTCTAATTCTCAAATTCAAGGGTTAAAAATATCATTTCAGGATAGATGCCCTGTGTGACATTCCTTTAAACCTCCACGTAAGAAGGACACAATTCATGTGAGGTTTTATAAGGCATGGAAATACCTTTAAACGACAGAGTGCCTGCGCGACAGCAGTCAAAGGTTAATATCATATCATATGCTATTTTATCTATTTAGTTCAGTGTGTATCAAAATGCTAGGGCTATAAAACCGAAAGTTATGCTAGGAAATATGGTTTTATTTTGTAGAAAGTGCCGCAAATTAAACAAACAAGTTAAGGCTCAATTAGTAAGACATTTTTCCAGTTTTTTTTTAATAATAAGTTCCTAAATCCTACTTATCATGGTTCTGCATGTTTTTGTATACAATTTGTTTCGAATTTTACCGACTTCGGGGAAAAAGCTTTTGTTAAGCCTCTACTACAGTTGTACTGTCTTCTACTTATAGATAATGAGTAAAAATATATTCTGATATAGATTCAGCTTATAGATAATTGGCCCATATGACTATTCACATTTCCATTAGGCTGTAATTGGACCAGTCTATGATATGTACGTCATTATTCTGAAAGCATTCAAAAATAGATTTTGAGGTTAGCATAGGAGCTTTTTCATACAAAGAATGGCTTTAATGTGCTTTGATTAAGAAAATGTTGTTCTAACAGCTGTTGAGCAAACGATTGTCTATTTATTCTTTCTGCACGTCTGAATCCAACTCACACAATTACCACTAACTTGCCTCTTTGAGAGTATCGCTTAAATGTTCTATACATAATGGACTGTCATTTGGTTGGTTCAGGTCCATTTTATTTTCATCACTAAATTTTATAATAGGCCAATTTTCTGTCATGACTATCACATCATGTGCAAGTTCCAATCACTTTTCTTTGCTCTTTTTAATTAATATAAGAATCAATAGTAGCTTTCAGTAAATTGTATTGCAGAAGTTCTTTACCCTTTCACGGATTATACATTTTAATATTGTTGTCTATTCATTTTATCTGCTCTTCAGAATCCGGCTCATACAACTACCAGCAGTTTGTTTTTTTGAGAATATGGCTTCAATGTTAAATACACAGTGCCTGCCATCTGAACAGTCCAGGTTGATTTTCTTTTCTTCACTAAATATTATAAGATGCCAATCTTTTTTCCTAAACATCACTTAGTGTGCAAGTTCCAATCGTTTTTCTTTGTGAATCAATATAGAAACCGATGGTCGCTTTCAGTAATTTATATTGCCGAAGTTACTTACGATTCCATGGATTGTAGATTTTAATAGTGGGGGCTTTTGCTGTCCATCTGAAGTAGACTGTTTTGTATTTCTAAACTACGATTCCTTCTATGATATTTTTTGTTAGGATGTCCCTTTTAATGGGTGCATAGATGATTTAAGGGCGGTAACGATGCTTACAACATATTGCGATTTGTTCAAAAGTTTAGTTACTGTTCTATTATACTTTTTCATACTTCTTGCATCAATATACAAAAGCCCAAACAGCAAATGACATAAAAGATGATCCAGTTCATTTAAGTACAATGTTCAAACATATTCAAATGTCTTTGCAAGTTAGATGAAACAATGCCATACATCGAACTTTTATTGAGATAAACGTTAGGTTGTAATGATTTACCCACATAAGTAAGGCCAATCTTTTCAAAGCAGTATCAAAATGAAAACTTGCATAAAATAAAAAAAAATGTATCCTAAATAGTTGTAACGATTATTGTACAATAGTCTCTACCAAAATATCTCATTGTTAATTATGAATGGAAAATATGAAAAATTTGGTTAGGCCTATCATTTCGATACACACTGTAGTTGTAAGCAATGACCACGTATTCATCATTTTTCTAGAACTATTTAGGCAAATTAAATTTTTTTGCGCACAATTGTGAAATATATTTATCTGAAGAAAATACAAAAAATAAATTTTACATCTATTTATTACATAATTTAACGAAGACTGACCTGAGCCTTACATTATTTTATACTGCTAGGCAGCCTTTTGCTCGCTTTGCTCGCCCATCCACGTAATTAATTCTTATTCATTATTGTTTGTATCTTCTTAAACGTTAATTTTAAAAAACACAGAAGATTTTAGTTTAAAAATATACAATTATTTTAGTTTTAAGTAAGAAAATTTTGTTCATCTCAACGAAATAAACGATTACCTGGATTTCATAAATAATCATCTGTTCTTGAAAAACAGAAAACTAACCTAAGGAATACAGATTGTGAGATTCAGTAATTGGTAATTAATGAGAAGTAATTTCCCTAGTTGAAAAGAATTAGAACAATTCAAAGAGGGAAATGTTTAATTGTTATTCGCAACTAATTTTTTAATTTAAAAATTTCACTATGAATTTTGAGATCTGTATCGGACAACAAGTAGTTTGTCTCTCTGTTTTTGCTAATTTTGGTTGATATCTATTCGTGCAAGATCTTTTAAAATAAAAAAAGGGATATCGGGTGGAAAAAATAAATTTTCTACAACAATCGATTGATAGTCAATAAAGCAAAAAAGCGGAAAAATAAATCATGAAAAAGCACTTAAATTTGCAACAATTTTCGAACAAATAGGAATTTTGAAAAAAAAAAAACTCTTGGAAAAATTGTGATACAAAATAGTCCTATCAGCACATCAAGTTCCTACTCTGTAGTTGCATTTCAGAGGGAAATAGATTGACCAACATGCTTTTTTCGCTACAAATTTAATAGTTAATAATTCTCGAACGAACAATCGAATTGTAATTTTTTTTATTCCATCGAAATCTTTCTACATTTTTCAACACATATTAGTAATTTCAAGTTTTCAAGTCATAGATTTTGAGCAGCAAAGCAAAATGTAATGTTTAGAAAAGAAAAAAAAGTGAAGCACTTAAAAAAAAAAACCCCTCAGTATTAGGTTCATAAAATAAAGATACCCTTCCAGCATGACAAATTTCATTTGTGTAGTTGCATTCTCGCTCCCTGCAATACGGCCTGAATGGTATTTGTTTCTAATACATTTAGCAGTAGATAAATTTCGAACTATTTGTTGAATGGTATTTTTTTTTTAGTTTATTGTAATTCCTGTAAGCTTTTCTACACACCTTAGTCGCTTCAAGTCTTGGAGTCATACAGTTTTTGTGCAGCAACAAAATGTAACATTAAGTTGAACAAAAAAGACAAAAAAAAAAAACAATGGCGGCATCGGTAGCTGTCTTTACGATTTTCTAATATAGAGAGACAATTTTAAATTATTTTGAATTACGTAATTTAAATGATAAATTTTTTTCCCTTCTCATAAACGACCGAATAGCTCTAAAGAAATCAAAATTTGCATACATCATTTCTCAAGAACTATTCTATTAAATACATATAAGAATCAAAAAGTTATACTTTAAAATTAATCGCGCTTTTGTCGCTATGCATTCTTTTATAATTAATTACAATAATGATCAAAATAATTTTTAATTAACTTTTCAATTATGTTTCATAACTTTTCGCACTTCTCAGAAATTATTAATTTAAAATCTTAGAAAATACATGGAGAATTAATCTAAAGTTTATAGATGAAATTAGTTTTAAAATAAAATTCAATGTTAACTTCGAGGAAGCAGCATTTTCTTTCAGCAGCAACTGTAAAATTAAAATGTTATGCTTCGATGTATGTATTTTCAAAAAAAAAAAAAGTGACTCTAACTTTTAAACATGGTGTAATTTATATTCATTAGAGAAACCAATTGATTCCGATTTAAACCCGATTGATCCCAATTTTGCTCCACTGCCTTCAGAGTATGATAGCCAAAATTAAAAACTGAACCAGTTTTTTTAAACAGTGAACATTTTCCTTGTATTTTCTTATCTTGTAATATATTGTAGATTATTCTTGAATTTTCGTGTATTTGCAAAGAACTTCGTATAAAATGTTTGCAAAATTACTCCAAACTCAACGTTTTTCATTTTCCAATCAGTTGACTAATGAGTAATGGCCTTTTTCAAACTTATATTCCTTCTTTCTTTTGCTATTGATGAATTGAATATGATTTTATAATAAAAGTTAGGCGAACATGTAATTTGATTATATTTTCTGATTAATGTGGGATCTTTTAAATAAGAAAGTAAAGTTAATCTTATATCTTTATATTTTTTTACACATAATGCAATTTTTGTTGTCTGAAACTTAAGAAATTAGCAAATTTGTAAATTCTTTATTATCCAAAAATAGTTTTAATTAGCAATTTTTAAAAGTTTTCTTTAATTTTTAGGATAAATATTGTCGATCAAAATAGATGATCAATAGTAGTACCTATAAATTCAAAAAGCAATGAAAAGTTTCTTTTAAGTAGTAATAAATAAAAATAACCCATTATAAAATTACAATTGATAAGTATAAATCTATACCGATTATAAAATTACCGATTGCAAAATTACCGATTATACAATTACCGATTATATAAATTACAGTTTTTAAAAAGTAACCAGAATTAAAAGAATAAAATAAATAGAGGAATGTTTCTTTAAAAGAAAAATAATAAAAGCAGAAAACTTAAAGCAACGCATTTTTTTTATTAAAAAGAATTAACAGAAAATTATTAATACTTTAATACTCATGGTATACATTTTTTGATGTCAAACAACTTTAATAATTTTACAAAACAATTACCTTCCACTGCTGGCTTTTCCGAAATCAGGTTGCAACTTCATTCATTTGAGCTCACGTGACAAGTTGCAATTCAAACAAAGTGAAAGTAATACTTAAAAAGAGAAAAATAACGCATGAGACAGGACGGAAATGCAGTCATATGTAACAGCCAAATACATTGTGATTACATACAAGTTGTTTTAAACTTCGAACTGTGTTTTTTGTAGGAAGTAGAAATACATCTCAAAATGTAAGTGACTTATAAATTATAAAAATATAATTTAGGCGTGCATTAAGAAGAAATTTTTATAAATAATTTAAGAAATTTAAATAATTGTAAATAAATAAAGAATGGTTTGTTAAAGATTTGCATTTGAACATAAAGAAAAATTATATTTAAGATAAAAATTTTTTTAAATTTAGGCAAAACAAAAATTTTACATTCTGGCTTCTGTCCGTACATTTTTCATATAAATTGCTAATATAATAATTAAAACAAGTTGTCGTTAAATGGGAATTTTATTAATTTCATTGTTTAGTAATAATTTACGAAAATATATAATTTCTCATTTGGTGCATTGCAAATAAATTAAAAAAACAAACTAAGGTGTCGAATTTTTGAGTATTTTAATCTCTTTAAATATGTCAATTAGAGTAATGTTTAATTTCATGCTGATTTGCTAACGATAACGTTTTAATTAATCATTTGAAAATACAGGGTGATCCGAAAAAAAAAGCTCAAAAGTAAAATAAAATGGAAAAAGAAAAAAAAAAGATTAATAAACATGCTGCATTCCAATTAGAAAATGTTTTAAATTTATGAAATCCCAAGTTTGATATCTTTGTTCGAACGATTTCAGTTATTTTCGAGATAATACAGTCCCTTATTGGGATGGTTTTTTTCTATCTACCCTGTATTCTTAATTGATCAGTTTAACGATATTGTTTGCAAGTCAGTATGAATAACTGTCACAAAGTTATAAGTGAATTTATGAATAAAATTTATAAACACTTTTATTAGGTAAATACTGTATTAAATCAACTCTAATTTATTATATTTTTTATTTAATTCAAACCAATCTTTGTTATTTGTTTGTCAGATAGATACAACTACTCGCATAATGACCCATTAAAATAGTATATTATATGGATATTTTAAAAAGGCAACCACTGAAGTACACATACTTCTACATATCCTGATACATATATCTTTATTCATCGTAAAAAAAGATAATTGTTGTATAACTATTACAGATATTTCCCTTGAAAGGAAGCTTAGATAAAGAAAATATCGATATCTCTGACTAGGTATCAACAAATGCATTTATCAGCATAACATTTGTAAAAGTAATAACGGTATTGATCGATAAATTATTCGTTTACCTATTGTTTAACGGTATTTACCAGTAATATTATCTATCAATATTTCTTAATAAAATTATCTGTTATTGTTGCCTTTACAATTTTTCTCATTACACAAAATTCAAGGCTTAAGAGTCAAAGTAAGGTTACTTTGTTATATTATAAAGTAATTACATGATATTACCTTATTATGATTATGATATTTATTTACCTTTTTGAGACTTTTAAGCGGACAATAAATAAGTTGTATTTACATGTTAATAAGTTATATTGACTTTCATAACAAATTTTACAATGAGTTCAGTCAGCGTAAGAAATTAAAATGATGCCTAGATAAAGTACAAAAGTGTACTTTTTACACAAAACCCTAATAATTTCTTAACTATTTGTCTTATAGATTACTCTTCTGCATCATTCAATTTAGCGTAAGAATTGTATCCAAAAGTTTATAGGTTCAGATAGTTCCTAAATAAGTAAAGTGTGTACTTAAGTACACGTCAAAAGAAGTACTTTTTATATTTTTTAAATAGGTATATTTTTTAAAACTCATGCACTTTTTTTTTAACTATTTGTTATTTTGACCTCAGCAACTTTGTACAGTCTCATTCAGCTCAGCATTAAAAATGCATAGGAAACAATGTTTCATTTGCTTCGATAGCAATGTCAGATGCGACAGCAATGTCACTTGTTTAGACAGCAATGCCAATACAAAATAGTACGTTTTGTGCATGTTATGAGTTCTAAAGTATTAATCCAATTTTTTCTGAATATAATTTCATTCAATACACGAGGGTCACCCAGAAAGTAGGTTTCCCTATTTTTTCTAAAAAAAGAACTCACACTTTGAGGAACATATTTATTGGAAACAAGTACAGCAAAGTTTCAGCTATTTCTCAACATAGCCATCACAAGAATTGAGACACTTGTCGTATCGTGGGATCAAATTTTGTATCCCTCTGTTGTAGAACTCTGCCGCCTGTGAATGGAACCAGCGTGTGACAGACGTCTTCAACGGAACTGCAGAAATTGCGATGCGGCATTCAAAACAAGAGGCGTGGAATGCTTACTGCAGGTGTTGTGCTCCTCCATGCAATGCTCGTCCGCATACGGCTCGACGCATAGCAGCTGTTTTGACGGAATTTGCTTGGAAGTAGTTCATCATCCACCCTACAGCCCTGATCTTGCTCTCAGCGATTTTCACGTTTTCTTGCACCTCAAGAAATTCTTGTCCTCCGATGAGCGTTTTGGCAGCGATGAAAAGCTGAAGACGTCTGTCACAAGCTGGTTCCATTCACAGGTGGCAAAGTTCTACGACACAGGGATACAAAAGTTGATTTTTAGATACGACAAGTGTCTCAATTCTGCTGGTGGCTATGTTAAAAAATGGCAGAAACATTCCTGTACTTGTTGCCAATAAATATGCTCCTGAAAGAGTGAGTTCTTTTTTATAAAAAAATAGGGAAACTTACTTTCTGGATGCCCCTCGTACATCGTTAACCATGCATCACTAGCCTGTCTAGAAAGAATTCAGATTTCACCGTTAAAGAATCACCCCACTTCACACACACTCACAAAAAAAAAAAAAAAAAAAAAAAAAAAAAGCGTTTAAAGGAGAGTAGAAAAGATCGCACGCATCATTTACAAAAAGATAAAGCTTTTTGTGTAAAAACACCTTGGATCGTCATTGGAACACTTTTTCGATATAATTTCTGCATTGTATATAAAAATAAATTTACTTACTTTACCATTAATTTGTTCAGAAAATTTGGATTTAAATAAATATATTGCGAATGAAATAAAACAAATATAATTAAAAATAGAATAATGCATAATACTTTTAATGCAACAATTTGTTTATTATCAAGAAACCAAAATGATTTAGAAGCAATAGTGGGGGTCATTGAGCTTAGAGGGCAGGTAATATATGTTGATTGAAATGAAAAATGCTTCAAGTGGCATTTATTGATTGAAATGGAAGACTACATACTGAAAATACCAAATTTAGTAATTTCTTTAATGGATATAATTCAAAATTGTCAAAAAACACTTCATTAATTTTTACAGCCGTTTTGTTGAATGTCCGCTATCATTGTTTTAGGATAAATCTTATTGAACGTAAAAGAATTTAAAAAATTGATACGGTGATTGAGCAAAATGATTAGATTTAAATTTCATCCCGACAGAATTGAAAGCTTTATTAAGAAACATTACGTTTATTTTTGAGGTTCTAATTTTTTTTAATAATCAATTTTTTTAATAACAAGTGAACTTTCTATTTATTTAATGCTGATGACAGCTAAAAGCGTATGGATTTATGTTCATTTATTGTCATAACAAGTGATTATTTTGTCGGGCGAGAAAGTGCTAATAATAAACAGAAACTGTTAGATATTCGTTTTAGAAAATGAAATAATTTAAACTTTTAGTATGCTTTTAAGATCTGATAAAAATCACCAAAAACTCAATGTAAATCTTGCATTTATTGTCTTTTTTAGAATAATTTAATGGATTCATTTTGTACTGTAATTGAACTATGAAGTTGCCTTACAGTTTGCTAATCATAATTTATGTTTCAGACAATGGCTAAAATAAGCAGCTTCCGGCAGTTCCTCGTACTGCTTTACAAAGGAGCTCTTCTACGTAAGCGACATTATATCGTCACTTTTTTCGAAATCGTCATTCCTGTGTTCATCGCAAGCATATTTCCAATGATAGAATCCGAACAGAGAGCTGCGTATCCAGATATCTTTACAGAGTTTGATAGATTCAAGAAATCAGGAGACTGGGAAGAGGGCAGAACTTACAGTCCTTATTCTCCTTTCGAATTTCCTGGCTACTATGACATTTACTTCGTGTATACTCCAGCAGACAATGTGACGAAAGATTTTGTGGAAAGAGCTGTAAGAAAATACAATGAAAGTACTCCTAAATATTATTCACAGACACAGAAATTGGGTAAGTTCAAACGAGTCGTTAGTGTACACTGTTAGAAATTTCTCAGAAAAATGGTTAAATAACAATCTATTTAATTGTTATTTTACCATATTTAAACAAAACAGCCAAATAACCAGAAATAAAATAGTACGCAAACTGTTAGCTTAAAATCGTTTATTAATTGCTTTCCCCACTACTGTTAAGTAACCAGAATTTTATCGTTTCAAATAGCCCCACCTAAACAGTTCCTAGCAGCTGGGTGTATATTATAGCCAGGAGGGCTAATCTGCCACCCTCATGGCCCACAGAACGGGGGTCCGAGTTCCAGCGGTGGCACTGCAATTTATTCTCCATTCCCTTCAACACATGACGAGTTTCCAATGTTCTGCACCCCCTAATTTGTGACACTGGACTATTAAAGTGCAATGCTCTCATTCACGCATAAATGGAAGCAACATAAAGCTGCTTGGAACAAAAAAATTTAGTATTTCCCATCTCTTAGGATAGATGAAACAACCAGATAAATTAATTAAACTACTTTTCGGTTCATTTGAGGAAACACAACTCAACCACAACCTAACTCTAATTACTATTATCTAACAAAAAGCCTAGCTCCAATGTTCGGTTAAATTACTTCTTTACGGTTTTGAAACCATGCTAGTTGTAAATGGTTAAAACCTTTATGTTTCGTATTAATGTTTTTTTTTTATCCATACTTGTTGTAAACGGTTTCAAAACCGTAAAGGTTAAAAAGTTCTCTATTGTAAACTTTATGGTTAAATGGAAAGACAGACAGCTGCCGGTTGTTTCACCGTAATTTTAAAATGAAAATTGTAATAGTGTATGCTTTTAACCTAAAGTAAAAATAACTCACTGTTTTCATTTATATGTGATTATGGTTTTAAATGATACAATTCATTATATTCATGCGTTAATAACACAAGGAAATATATAAAGAGGATCCGCTCGAATATATAAAGAGCTTCCGCTGCGAGCATATAACTTTTTTTTCATAGACTTTCATAACACAGACTTTTTTTTCGAATAATTGTAATACTAGTCCAAACGATCTTAACGCCACGCTACGGTAAAAAAGCTTAACTGCTAACTAAATTGATGAGCTTATTGTTTTCAATTAGTATTTTCAATTCAATTAATGAAGATTTCGGAGGTATAATGACATTTTTATTTGCACAAAAATTTTATTCTATAATATCACCATAGCAATCGATGATACAGCTTACATATACTCAAATAGCCAATAAATAAAATCTAATACTTTTAACAATATTAGCGATTGTTAAACACTACAGGAAATTCTACTTTTCTTTGAAATATTTAAAAGATAATACTTGTAATGTTTGCTAATTTAAAGCTCTATTATAAATACTATAAAAATATTAACTGTACTCTCTTTACTATCAAGTTTATTATTTAATTTCTTTATTATCCAATTTTAATTATTTCTTTACGAGTTCAGTGATTGACGCAGATGGTATATGAGGGATGCATCTGCAACTTAGTATCCTTAAAGTCTTCTAACATCACGTGCTTATTTTGCTTTAGTTGAGTTTTAAAACGTGTTTTATTAAACTAAACTTAATAATTTAAAATGATCGAACAGTAATTGACATTAAGAAAAATAAGATTTGCACTAGAAAGCAAATTTAAATGAGGAATCGTAATATAATTGCCATATTATTATTGACGTTAATCATGATTAATTAATTTTTATAATTGGTGTCTGCCGTTATGTAAATTTGTGAGGCTTTTGATAAGTACCAAATATATAAACATAGGTACTGCTGCAGGTACTACTGTAGGTATTGTGGTAATAGGATTTTTTACTCGATGAAGTTACCAAAAGTATTTCATAAAGGACATCAAAAGTGTTTATGAACAAAAACATTATGCTTATGAACTTATAAACAAAAATGTTTATAAAATCTTTTTTTCAAATTCTGAGTTTTCTTTTACAATTCTAGTAACTCAAGGTGTTGATAGCGAAGAAGAACTACAGAAATATTGCCTTAATCTGCTACTTGGTAAAAACAGTGTGAATATTCTAGGAACAGTTTTCAACAGCTTTCATCCATCTCAAAAAGAATTACCTTTATCACTAGACTACAAAATTAGATATGCGGATTATAATAATTGGAATAGGTTTCAAACATCAAAGAAGTACCGAGCTCTAGATTATAATAGTCCACACGAAGAAAGTAAGTTTCTTCTTCTAATTTTATATGAAGAACAATATTTTATTGTCATTAACTGTTGATTAGAAATGTATATTTTTTAAAAGTTTTTCTTTTTGTATCAAGCAGAATGCATTTTTTTACCGTTTTACCCATTGGCAAAATGAGAGTTGTTTTGGGTTTGATGGCGCGCGCACCTTATTTGGCCGTCATCGCACTTTTCAGCTATGTTCAAGAGTAATAGTAAACAGTGCGCATGCGTCGTCATTGCATGCGTTGCTATGGCGATCGCTGCTGCTAGATAATTTTTTTAGAATTCTTTTTTTCATTTTTAATTTTGTTATGCACTAAGTTGGTGAGTTTATTTTTGAGATATGGGACTAGAAAGATCCCATAAATACATCTTCAGATGTGAATAAAAGATAATTTATTCATTTGAACTATATTTTTGCTTTTATTGCTTTAGTTAAGAATCAGAAATTCTAACCTATAGTTCAAACTGGAAAAAAAATTAGACAACAACCATTTTGCTAATAGGTAAGGCGATCACAATTTTAAAAAAAGTTGTAGCAGTTAAATATGAGACAAAAAAAAATTAGTTTTTTTTATATTGTACATTATAAAAAGTATTGAATTCGAAACAATTTTTAATCTAATGATTGATCTTTTACATATGTTCGAGGTTTTGGAAAAATGATAATTAATTAGGCTAATTAATTAGTAAAGACTATCATTAACGTTATTGCTCTTTAACGTTGACGCCATTAACGTTATTGGCACTTCTCAAAAGGTGAGCACGATAAAAAGAGCTAATTTTGAATTCCATTCTCGTATTGTATGCACTAAATGCACTAAACATTCACTACTTTTCTACGTGAATAAAATTCACATTTTTAAAACCTTTTAATTGAATTCCAAGACATCAGATTATCTTAAGCAATAAATTTATTTGAAAAACTGTCGGAATTAGGTACAATACAAGATTTGGACAATTCTATAGTTCAAGTGATAGAAAGTAGCATTTTCTGCAAGAAAAATTTAAGAAGAACATGAATAAATACTTAGGTACTAAAAATAAGAAGAAAAAACTATTTTAAGAATGTATATGTAAGTTAAAATAATTTACTTTATTTTATTTTCTGTGAAAATAATAGTGCGGTTTTGTACATTGCTTCTTCAATCATGCATCAAAACACTAAAAATTTTTTTTTTAAAAAAACTTTTGCTCCATAAAATATAACTTATATATTGCTATGACTGCCATTTGTTAAGAATATTATCAAGTTACAGGAATCTTGATATTATCTTAAACTACAAATTTATTAGCAAAACTGTCAGCTTTGTGCGCGAAACGATTCTATAGTTCACGTGAAAGAAAATAGCATTTTGTTCCAGAAAAAATATCTTAAAAACATGAGAAAATACTTAAAATATTAAGAAAAAAAAAACTATTTAAAGAATGGATCAAGTTTAACGAATTTACTTTCATTTATTTTCTGTTAAATTAATAGTGCGATTTTGTATATTTCTTTTTCAGTCATGCATTAAAAAATTTCATAAAAACAAGAAAAATCAAGGCTCAAAACACTAAAAAGCTTCTGCTAAAAATGTCTTAAGCTGTAAAATATAACTTATACATTGTTGCGAGTGCCGTTTGTTTAGAATATTATCAAATAACAATCCTATTTAAACTTTATATTCTTATTTTTATTAGTTATTTTAAACATCTATATACTTAAAAGTTTTTTTCTTTGGTTTTACATTGACTCTGGGGAGAATTCAAAGCATGGTCTGGAAAAGTTATTTTTTAAGATATTTGCAGAAAACTTTTACTATAATTTGTATGTGTTAATTCCTGTTTCTAAATAAAATTATAAATTTTCTCTAAATTTTCACTGTGATATATATTTGATATGTTGATAAATGATTTAGTGAATAATAATTAATTAAAAATATTTAAGTGAATAAATTTTCTCTAAATTTTTGCTGTGATATAGACTTTAATTGTTGTTTATGGTTAGAACTGTGTTATGCGGCAACCTTTTGAGAACTGCTTTCATGAAATCGGAATAATTCTTTTCTCTTCATAGATTTAGATTTTTATTTTTCAGGAAATTCATGAAAATATATGGATATATATAGTGCCGCTCGCGATAGGTAGGAAAAGGCTTTTAAAATAACTTCTAATTTCAAACTCTATGATTAAGATTTATAAAATAAACTAGGAGGCTTCGCCCCCTGCTCGCTGGCGCTCANTGCTCTTGCGCGCCGAAGCCTATTAATTAAAACGTATTAGCGTTTTATATAATATAGATTAGCCATGTGATGTTCACTACGTGCTCTTGCTCGCCGAAGCCTATCAATTAAAAATGGAAACTGTTGCCAACGCGAAAAGAGAAACATCATCGGTTTTATTGATACATACGTATTAGCGTTTTATATAATATCGATAGTAGATACTACTTAACATTATAAAGGTTATTGCTATTTTAATTATTTCTAGTATTTATGAATTTAAACCAGTTTTGTGTCGTTTAAGTATTTCAAAAGATTGTTTTCCATTTAACGAATTTTCCATATAACGAACTTATTATCGGGATTTAGCGATTTCGTTATATAGAGGTCCGACTGATTATAATCAATATTTTCTCAGATTTTATTTAAATTATAGATTACCTACTTTATGTACTGATGAAATTTACAGATATTTTTACTATTGTACTATACCAACAGCATCAACTCACTACTTACGCACTAATGAAAATTTTCATAATTTTTACAGATTATAAAAGCACTACTTTCCTTACTTGGCAAGCATCTGTTGAAGAAACTTTTATCGATTCAAAAATGGATCCAAATAACCCGATAGATTATAAGGTTTGTTTACAATAAAAATATAAGACGTTTTTATATAATAAAAATCATTTAAAGTTAACAATAAACTAAACATACAAGTTAACAATAAACTAAATATACAAGTTAACAGTAAACTGAACATATATAAACTAAACATACAAGTTAGTAATAAACTGAACAATAAACTAAACAATATAGGTAATCTTGAATTCTTTAATATGAGATCCAAGTAGCTGTAAAACCAATTGCAAATAAAAATGAAATAATTTTTAACCATTCATCTCCTAATTTATTAGTCATTGATGTTTCTTTCTATTGGCTGTTTCAAAAATGTTTATAATCTAGCAAATAAGATCAAGTAATACAGTTTTAAAAAAGCTAAGAATTTTAGATCAGCTCACTAAAGTTGCTTTTTTGACATATATTTGACGCAAATTATTTCTAAGTACATATATATATATATATATTAAAAATTTAATCAGTGTCAGGACGAATTAAGCATTACTCATCGAAAGTAACCTCCTTTATACTAGGAAGACTCTTTTTTTTGTACAGAAACTTTTTTCCAGAATGCACAAAAGAAGGCGCTAAGTTAGTGTGAAAAGCTTATATTATGAATTACAAACGCAATGGAAAATAGATTTCACTTTCAAATTGTTTGGAAGAGTGTTATTTAATCACCTTCTTGGTTTAAAACACTGTGATTCCCATATAAACAGTAAATTTTCCAGTGTATTGTTCCAGTGTATCCGAACGCGTATGAAGTGTCAATGTAGAAACGATTCTAAGGTTCAGTTTGTTTTAAAAATTCCAAGTTTGTAAAAAGTGGAAATTATTAATTATATTGTCTAATGAGTAATGAGAGTGTCTGAAGAGATTAATTCTATTGTCTAAAGAGTAATGAGAGTGTCTAAAGAGATTAATTATATTGTCTAAAGAGTAATGAGAGTGTCTAAAGAGATTAATTATATTGTCTAAAGAGTAATGAGAGTGTCTAAAGAGATTAATTATATTGTCTAAAGAGTAATGAGAGGGTCTAAAGAGATCAATTATGTTGTCTAAAGAGTAATGAGAGTGTCTAAAGAGATTAATTATATTGTTTAATTTCAAAATTGATCAATACTGTGTAGGTTAATAATGTTTAAATCTTTGACGTAGATTGTACATTGGCGTCCCTTTTATATATATTTTTTTCTGACACCAATATTACAAGCAAAATTATATAAAAACAATCCAATAGTTACTGAAAAATATGTTATATTTTCGGAATTACGCTTGTACTAAAATATAAAATTCAAAAAAAAAAAGTTTGAAATTTTTATTTTTATTTTATTCATATTCAAAAATTTGACAATAATTGTTTTTGTATATTGAAGAAATTTTACAGATGAATAACTGCTTCTTTTAGATTTAAATAACTGCAAATAAGTAAACATTTGAAAAATTGCTATTTGGAAGTGAGCCGTGCTTGGAAAACTTTACCTTTACGAAAAAAAAGAAAGGATGTGTCACGCTGTATTTTATAACCATAAATTATTAAAATGCTAAATATAACATTTTTCACTTATCTTACATTATTAACTTATTTTGAGATAAACTAATACAAAATAATGAAAGAAGTATAAAAAAATATGCTTCAAAAAATTCTATGTTATATGTTTAAGGTTACTCATTTTATCTTTATAATTTTGCCTACTTGTTAGTTTCCATCCAATGATATAAAACTACTTATTCTTAATTGTCTAATTTACTTAATGTATCATAAACGTTTTAATTACTGTCCATATTTTAGTTCTAATTTAAATCTTTTTAGGTGAGGTTGCAAAGATTTCCCTTTCCAGATCACAGAAAAGCTTCATCTGGCCCAGATATTGTTGCTTTTACACCTATGCTTATTAACTATGGATACTTTGTTTTTATGTTAAATCTGATAAGAAGAGTCATAGNAAATACTTCCTATTATATTTCCCAATTGGTATCCAAATTTCCAGTAAGTTTGCAAGCTAATTTTAAAATTTCTCGGATGGTGCCTTATCGTATTTCAGCATTTCCATTATGATGCCATACCAAGATTCAATATTTATGGTATACCGTGTTATTATATACCGTGTTTTAAATTACCTATACGTTTACATTGATTTTGGAATCATTTCTATTGATTCTAATATCATTTTGATGTTGGTATTTTGAGCTTTTTTCCTCAGAGCTATATTCTTTAACAGCCAATATACGAGGATTGTAAATTAAATAGTGGCAACTTAACCTTGAAACTCACAGAAGGGCAGGCATGCGCAAATAGGATATGGGAGTGGTAAGGTGGCGCTGTCGTCGATGTGCAGAGTGCAAAAAACAGTCGATTTGCTTAGAAGGGTAGTTGTTGTGTGGCGTTAAAGTGAGGAGTTTCGTTTCCATTGCTCTAAAGCATGTTTTCAAAGGGCTTAATGACGAAAATAGAGTAGATGCTTGAACCCATCGTGCTACTGCCCTATATTGTAAAGCATTTGCGCCACAGGCTTCCACAAAACCTCGATTGCATTCTGCATCATTTTTGCCACGGTCAACCTCGATTTTGAGCCATGACCGCTGATCACCTTTTGAAAACATGCTTTAGATCGAGGGAAACATGCACGAGCAGTTAATATAACTTGTAGTTTCTAAACAATCACACGCACTTCTGTGGTAATCAAATGCTGTGTGAATCGCTCTTAAGATTATCTTTAATCCTTTCATTAACAACAGTAATGGATTTATTGGAGATGATGGAGTTTAATGTTTGGCAGATCTCGTACTGATGTACGGCTGTACACGAAAATGTTTACATAATTTGTTCACAGCTGCTTTTCCTGGATAATGTGTGCCATAAACAGAATTAATTTGACCATAATTGTTTTTCACTATCCTCACCTTCTGCCAATTAAAGTCGTACTATTATACATTGTTCTGTTTCAGTTGTTGTTGCTTTAGTTCATTTACGTCACACTGGAGCTACACTATGGGCTATTGGCGACGGTCTGGGAAACATCCCTGAGGATGATCGGAAGACATACCATCACAATTTTAATCCTCTGCAGAGGGGATGGCATCCCCGCTTCGGTAGCCCGACGACCTGCACGCGAAGTCGAGCACTTTACGGTAGAACAGCTTAACGAGGACCAATACCACACACCCTCCGTCCCAACGCAGACTAATCCAAGTGGTCACCCACCCGCACACTGACCGCAGCCAGTGATGCTTGACTACGGTGATCCGCTGGGAACCGTGTCTTAACGATCAGTTCACTGCGGGACTGTTCTGTTTCAGATGCATCTATCTTAGTATGGCTTTGAATTCCTTTTACTTATCCTATGTTAACAGATTGATCACTTATATTTAATTTTTGGAGCACTTCAAATTGCATTTACTTAAAATTTCATGGGTGGTGCTGCTATCGCTGCTATCTATTAAACCTTCTAATGCATATCTACATTTCACTTCGAAAGTCTAACATTTATTAATTTTATTGTGTTACTTTTTCAGGAACTTATGAAGATGATGGGAATGACAGACACAGTGTATTGGATAAGCACATTTTTAAACTATTTTATTGTGGGTCTACTGACAGTTTTCAGCATCACCATAATTTATAAGTCTCCATTGAAAACGGGATTCGTCTTTTTAGCCAATACAGATTTCTTTCTCATATTTCTGATACTCCTGCTTTATATAATCAGTGTGATACTTTTTTGCATGACATTCACAATATTCTTCAATCGAGGTATGAAACATTTATTTTCTTGATATAAAATTTGTTTTACAAGATGCGCAGTTTTTAAGATATTTTCAATCTTAGTGTGGCAAAAGTTTTGTTGTAACAAATGCAACCATGAAAAAGTATTATATACAGAATATATTCTTCTTCATGGATTGGGTAATCATGGCCTTTCATTCATGGTAATCAAGAGTTTTTCTTTTTCTTTCCTTTCGCTACTGATCCACATTTAATGAAAAACATTTTCGTAGAAGAATGTATTGAGAACTTATGCTTTATAAATATTTTATACATAGCTCTCTTATATCTGTCAAATTTTATGACTTTTTTATTTTGTAAGTGAACTAAATATGTACGACTTTTTTTCAATTTTAAAAATGCTGCACTAATTCTTATTATTAATTAATTAAGATTAATTAATTAAGATTAATTAATTAAGATTAATAATAAATATTTTATTTATTTTAAAGCAATATTTTTTTTCAAAATTGAAAGTTTTTCTGTGTTTAAAATGATTATTTTCCTGTTAATGAGGTCTTATGATGATGATTTTTCTTCTTCTAATTTTAGCTGTCTTCGCAATTATAGCATTTATAATCTTATGGGATACATCATTTAATTTATTAATGCAAAAGTATTTCTTGATGAATATACAAACAAATTACTTTGATTTGTCTCTGTCTGCTAAACTGGCGATGTGCTTGCTTCCAACTGGCAGTTTACTAACTGTGTTTGGCATGATATCTGTACAGAAACAATGGGGTAAGACTGATTTTTTTCTTTAAAATATTGTGTAACACATTTCTATGTATTCTTAATAAAATTTATTAATACTTATTATCATCAGTACTAGTACTATATCATAAATAACAGCGCTGCGTATTTCTCTATATAAATTTGTTCAAAGAGGTTGAAATGAGTTTCAAACTCGTGATTGGTTGTAATGCAAAGCAAATGGCTAACCATTCAATTGTTATTATTTTAAACAAAGTGGCTTAAAATTTTGCATTGAATTTAGCAATGATTGGACTTTTTCAACAGTTTCTATTAAATTTGCTTTTTCCCTGTTATTAAAATCTATTGCAAATCCACAAAATTGGCTATTCAATGATTTCATTGAAGTACTTATTGAAATCATTGAAGTAAATTATTATTATTATTTTTTTTTACAGGGGATGGTTTTAGTTGGTCCAATATTACAGATTACGCAATCAGTCCTGATATAAATATGGCAATGGTTTTGGGAATGATGGTACTGTCGTGCTGTTTGTATACTTTTATGCTTTGGTATTTTGACAAGGTTTGGCCATGGCAACCTGGTGTTCCTCAGCCCTTTTATTTTATGTTTACAGTTAAGTGTAATATTTAGTTATAAACATTCTTGAGAAGTATGAAGTTCCTTTATTTCAGGGAAACTAACGGTTTATTATTTTTATTAGAAAAGTTACTGGTGTGGTGTGAAACCTGAATTTGATGATTTAGACGCAATGAAAGGGAAAGATCAGGATGAAGAATATTTTGAAGAGGAGCCTACTGGAATTTCCCGGGGAGTGGAGATTAGAAATTTATCTAAGGTAAATACGATTACAAGATAAATTTTTAAACTAATTAAACATATTGTTACATTTATACCGAACGTAAAGAATAAATTTATTATTTTATGCATTCTATTGTTATTTTTCCATAATTCTGTTTTTAAGCATTTTATCCTTCTCATTTCGAATGTATTTCAATAATTTTGCAACTAAATTGACTTTAAGCTAATTCAGTGCTAGCTTCGCGCATTTTACACTGATGGTATATTTGGCGTTGTTATTTGAATAAAATGCATAAAATACAATTAGTCAATGCCTATCGTACATCATTCTTTTTAAATACTTCATATCTAAAGTAATTTCTCTCATGTATAAAATCAATTTGGTATAAATAAAATAAATTTGGTATGTATAAAATTACTACCATTAGGAAAAAAATTAATTATTCCGATGTCAAGTAAAATTTTTATTTATTAAAATTTTTTCTTAATTGTTTCCCATCTATCCATCTATTTATGTAAGTAAATAAATAATCAAAGAATAAGTATTTATATTTTTCGTTCCCTAAAACAATCGTTTTGGTGTTATACAAATATCTTAACAATTTGCCAACCTCTCGGTGAGATCTCCTCGATTTGTAAACCATCAGTACTCGACCAATCGGTGAGATATCCCAGTTTGACAATAGTAAGTTATAGCAGTTAAAAAAATGGGTGGTTTCAAACTTTACTCGTTTAGCTGATAAAGTGTTAATATTGTTACAAAAATAACTGATTATAAGTACTAACAAATGTAGGTATAATGACTGTTGTTCTCAGTATAATGAATAAAAAGTAGAAAAAAATTATCACACATTATTATTCGTTTTACTAAATTCAAATCTGCCGTCTAATATTATTTTGGCTTGTATCTCCTTGAGATGCATTTTTGATTCCATCCGTTTTAAAACCTTTGGTCTCAGTGCTTTTTTAACTTATCAAGTAAATGAAGTCTATTGAAGATGGTAGGTCAACACTATCGAGGTGAGATGGATATTTTTCATTTACTGAAGTGTCAGCAAATGTTTTTTGACGAATTGGAAGTGTATAATCAATTATTGTTTTACGACTGGATGGAATAATGTAATTAAAAAAATTATGTACCAATGAGCTTGATTGAGCACAAGAAACTCATCGAAAAGTACTTGAAGCATGGGGTTTGGTATGGATTAATCTGCAGGAACCTCAGCCCCATATTTTCTTACATTCTTCTTTCTTACATGCCGTCTCGTGACATCCAAATCTTTCAGGGGTTCAAAAAATATCCGCTGGGTATAACAGTTGAAACAAGACAATAGTGTGTGGGACAGAATTTGACGATTGATTTGAGTTATGAGCAAAGGAATTTTACGAGCATGGCTAATGCGTCACTAATGGAATATTGCAGCACTAAAAGATTCTGGTCAATAGATCTGAGTTTTTTTAAAAAAAATATTGTGAAAAATCATTTATCACGTCATTTATTGAATATATTTAATATCAGCAAAATCGTACTTTATTTAAATTTCGTCAACTGGTTTCTTAGGGATTTCAAGTGAACTTTCAGACGAAGATGGCAGTCAAAAATTTGTCTCTAAATATATACCAAGGACAAATAACAGCTTTACTGGGACATAATGGGGCAGGAAAAACTACCACCATCAACATACTTACTGGTAAGATTGTTTATGAATTAATTAACCAATTAGTTATAAATTAATAAACTGTAATTATTGTTTATGAATTAATAAACACTTTATGTAATATTAACTTAAAAATATTTTTATTCTTTAATATGTTTGTCCCCATAGGTCTCCTCCAACCAGTTTAAGCCTAAATTTGAAAAAAAAAATTCTTTTTTTGCCCTGAATAATGAAACAAATGTTTTTTTCAAAAAATATTCTTTAAAAATAAATTTAAAAGCAACAATATTGAACTTCTTTCCTTAGATTGAATTGTGTGCATCATTATTAAGTAACATTTAACTTCTAGATTCTAGAACAAGATTCAATTCTTTTTTGAGTGATATATATATA